ATTATCTGACTGTTTGTTCAGTTTATCTGTAAAACGTCTTATTTCTCTACTAACAGTGAAAGAACCCAAAGAGATTTAGTTACATAACTTATATAACTAAGAAAAGGAGAAAATGTTCCCACTGGAGAAATTATAACCAGCAAGCATTTTTGCAAAATTAAGAACTTTTTCTGTGGACGGATGTATTTATTCTAAATGTGTCTCATGCACATTGCATAGAGCTTCCTAGAAAGCTAGTGTTATTTTGTGGTTTTTTATACACGTCACTTGTTTATTATGTGGCAATTTGCAATGCAGCCAAGCTCACGATCATATTTCCATATTTCCTTGATACTGTCTGTGCCCTTACAAATATTTTCTGAGAGTTAAAACCCCCGAGATTAAAAACAAAACTCCCTTAAACAAAGTACTGGAAGTGGACAGGTTTGGTTTTGACTGAAGAATACTTCCAAGTTTTGGGTTTTACGAAATACAGGAAGTTATTCATTTTGTTGGAAATTGAAATTGTTGGCAAAACCAAAAAAAGGAAACTTGTACAGCTCAGAAAAAAAGCGCTCAATACCATATAACATGTCAGACATTAAAGGCTAGACTCGGCCTTTAATGATCTGGAAAGTATTAAACTGTGTTGTCAAATCAATATTTTTGCCTGTGAAACTTAACGACAGCGCCGGTGATCTCTGAATTTCAGGATCGTCTCATTTCGATCGACCCAGTAAGAAATGGATCAGACAAAAAATAGCTTTTCTTTGGGAGTGTGTGTCATGCTCTCATGACCCCTGAACACTCAAACACACACGTTACAGTACAACATCTGGACACACAGACCAGACCGTCTCCATTTTTTAAAATCTGATACCAAGAAAACAAAGAAGGGGAATATTGAACAATTTTCTGTAACCTCAAATAAGTCTGCAATGCTTTTTGTAGTCAGTAGAAACAATAGAGATTATATTTATTCTATAGAATGTTTATTTTATGTATTAAATACGATAGCTTGACTTTATCTCACAGAGATTGAAACTGTCTGAAACGTGTGTCGTACATGTGAAGCTCTGGCCAGGAGTTTAGCATTTACCACCGTCTTGAAAAGTGGGACACAAAACGCTCATCAATCCAATTGTTGTTTGTGCAGCCAACATTTATGGACAGGTTAAATTAGCGACGTGTTATCACTTCAGCTGAAGATGTGTTGCTAGGCAGATTTTATCATTTAAATCACCCCTCGTGATAATTGTTTGATTTAGAACTACCTCTTCTCAGAGATTTTTTTTTTTTATGTATTTCTTTTTAAGATTTATTTTTGGGCTTTTTGCCTTTATTTGATAGGACAGTGGATAGAGTAGTGAACCAGGGCGAGAGAGAGAGAGAGAGGGGAGTGACATACGGGACAGGAGCCACTGGCCGGACTTAAACCCGGGCTGTCGGCTTAGAGGACTATAGCCTCCGTACATAGTGTGCGACCTAACCGCTTGGCCGTCTGTGTCCCCTCATTTTTATTTTAAAGTATAAATTCTACTTAAACATTAAATGATCTATTATATATAATTACAGCAGGGATGTAATGAAACTGTATTCATTTATCTAAAACATTAATCCAGTAAAATAATATTTAAAATACACTTTAGACTTTCATGAACCTCCCATACCAACAAGTGCAATCACAATGAAGTGATCTCTCAAAATATTTACGAAGAATTCAACTTTGATTGACTTTAAATATAGAAAATGTTTTTTTTCTTTGTCAGTTTTCAGATCTCTTGTATCACATATTTATAAAACTGTACATACATGTATTTAATGCTTGTATGCCTAGATGAAAATGTTTCCTGCATATTTATGTTATTCTGTCAATCCAAAGCAGAGTGTATAAATATATATATATATACTGTAGATATAAATATTTATTATTATTAATAATATGCCTGTGTCATGACTGTCACGCTGTTGTCACTTTATAACTCGGCTCACTTCGTCTGTTTTTAAATGTTTTTATTTACAAAGAGAGTTCACTGTGCATTGGTTTATCTCTCATGCTAACATGTTGACTATTGTTGTTAGTAGTTAATTGTCACTTTTAACATGTTAATTAAGAATGATTTTATCAGTAGGATCATAATTACTTTGTGTAAAGTGTTAAAGGGAAGTTGTTGCGTCAATTTGTAAACTTTGGTAGCAGGTTCTGGAGAGTTTCTTCTCTTAAGCACTGGATTTATTTCAACAGGTTACTTTGTACCAGTACATGTATAGAGAGGGTTAAAGAATGATTGTTTGAGATTAGATTTAATTCACTGTGGCTTACTGCTCTGTGATGTTCATGTTATCGTCCTCACACAGATGTTGATTTGTTGAACTGTATTTATTTGTGTTTCTTTCGACAATCGCCGGCCGTGCTTTTTCCTCTTGAGACTCAGCAGACGTTAAATGTCCGAAAGCTTTCGCCTTGCTGCCTCCCATGTTGCTCCTAATGTATCTCAAACCTTGGAAAACCTACAGTCAGAGTGTCCCTGAACCCCACACTCCTGTTGTAATAAAGGTTTTCTGCCTCCACCTGCAGAATATAAAATCAACTGTGATGGAAATGTAAACTGTTTTGTTTCTCAATCTTTGCATGACATAAGCACTGATCTCTGAACTTGCTTTAACTGTTCTTTCTTTCAGCTCTTCTTCCATGTCTGTCTCTGTGTGCGTGAATAATCTTTGTGTATGTCCTCTTATCTTATTGTCACCTAATTCAGCTTGAAGCAGTATTAATAAGTCTGTACTGACCTCTAGTGGCAATCTGCTCAAATTGCAACAACCGCAATCGCTCTTATTCTGACTGCTGCTCACTTTCCTAACAAAATATAAACATGAAAATGTCTATTTGATCAAATGTAATCACTCATTGACTGACTGGACAATACAATCCCCGGCAGACAAAGTATGTTTTGTCTGTTCAGGAATGAAGGACAAATGCAAAGAAATCAGTTTTAGGGAGCTCAAACCAGCCATCATTTCCATATTTTGCTCTCATTCTGTCTGTGAACATCCCCCGTCCCTTATTGTGTCTCCTCAGCGAGGGCTGCAGACGAGAAAACACTGTGAAGAACGTCGGATGCCGAAAGTACGCGTTTAACTCGCTGCAGCTCAAAGCCTTCCCTAAACACTACCGACCGCCTGACGGTACCTACGGGAAAGTCGAAACCTGATTGGACCAAGGGGGAAACTCAGCGTTGGGAAACTATCGGACAATTTGGTGTTTTGGGAAGGCCGAGATCAGTCCGGGTACAATCAAGACATAAACTGTTAAACCAACACCCAAGTTACTGTGTCGGAGAGTTCAGATCGATTTGCAGCAGAGAGATACTTAAAGATTTCTCCACCTTTTTAGTCAAATAACTGTTTTTAGATAATGTATTAGCTGCTTATGCCACATTATGCATAACAATAAAAGAACGGTTTTATTTCCTATTCAAAAAAAGTACATGAACAGCACTGCCTCACCCTGAAAAAGCACTGATATAATCAATGTCAAACACTCCAACATTGATATTTATGTTCTACGACGGAAATCGAGACAAACATCATCAACACCACATGTTCCCATGTACTCATGTATGAATAAATAAGATCAAAACAGACAATGAATCATTGTCAACACACAGCATCTGTTTTTTTATGCCGTTCATTATAGGAGAGAATGAGTGTTTATGCAGTGAGGATGTTTCTTATTGAAGCTTTTCATTTATACTGTATTGTGAAAGAAAACAAAGGATCCATTTTTATAGATTCTGTGATTCGCTTACTGCCCGTAAATCTTATGAACATAGCTAAAGCACCCGTCACAGTACTTGTTTCTGGCTCTGTTTGACCTTATTTCTTGAAACTTTACTGACAGACGTGTAGATTGAAAATGTCAATAGTCTTAAATGTTACTAAACTTTGAAAAAAATCTGACTCAATTTGCATCATTATAAAAAAAACAGTAAGCCTTGAACTGCAAGCCTTAAGTTTGCATAAACATAAAGGTAAAGAAAATGAGAAGTCTATTTGTTAAATAAAACCCTTTAAACAGCTTTTAGGACTCCTGATGATACCAGTAGGTCTTCTAGTGCAATGGTCCAAAGGACCCTCCTCCAAATCTCTCCATCTGACAGGTGTGGCAGAACAATATGCTCATTAGAGAGCATGATTATTAAAGTTTAAGGTAATAAAAGGCCACTCTAAAATGTGCAGTTGTATCACACAGTGCCACAGATGCCCCAAGTTGAGGGCGTGTGGGTTTGGCACGTTGACTGCAGGGCGGTCCACCAGAGCTGTCGCCCGTGAATTGAATGTTCATTTCTCTTATCCATAATCCATATCCCAAGTCATTTCAGAAAACTGCCAAATCTGTCTGCAGTTACTTATCTGCACCAGACGGGGGAGCCACTGCTCTTCCCTTCTCTAGATGCATTTAGACCCCACGTCCCTGCTCCTTCAGCAGTGACTTATACTGGACTGAAAGAGATTTTACTGTTACCAGAATCACACAGTCAAGCCCACTGCTGGTTGCAAACATTTCACAGACGATGAAAACGTCGATTATTTCCCTGTTCTCACATTTTACTCATCAATTAATCGGATCATTTTTTTGTTCTGTAAATATTGCAGTGTAGGACATTTGACTTTTTGTAGTCTGAAAAACGTCCAGAGTTTGACCTTCTCCATTGCAGCAATCTCCAGTTTTAATACAACATGTCATTACTTTAGAATAAACCTGACTGAATCTTCTGATCTACACTCAGTGTCAAACTGGTTTTATGAACTTGGTTGTGGCAGTATGACAAGAAATATAAGTCTGTCTGTGCAGCTCAACACAATATGACTATTGTTCTCTGCAGGACGAGCGTGTGAATATGTTTCTTACAAAGGCGTCAGCTGTGTGACATGTATCATTAAATATAGAGAGACAGAGAAAGCAGAACTAAGATGGATCTATTGGTGAAGATGGTGAATCTTGTGATTTTCTTATGACCTGTCTTTGTACATATTCTGTACAGTAAATTGTCTTTATGAAGCGAACCAACAAAACACAATCCACTAGCAAACAGAGCGTAGACTTTCCCCAATGCAAACCCCCCTCGACAAACTAGCACGTGTTGTTTCTGACTTCATACATCACATTTCAAATACAATATCCCTCAGAAACAACTGTGTCTCACAAAAAGCAACAAATATATCCTACAAAGAGTACATACATTGCGTGACTTATTGGACGATATTTTGTTGGAGGAGTTTAACTTATTTTGACCTCCTCAGGATGGTGACGAGACGGACTAATCTGCCTCAATTATGATATCGATGCTTGTCAACAAATATTTATATTTCCCATTAGTGTTGGCATGAAGATATCAATTCTTATCGTTGTTTCTCATACATCTGCAGTAAAAATCAAATGAAATGTATGCACTGATCCTTGTCAGGGCTTCATGAAGAACTGTGTTTGTGTTACACAAGAAGAACGGTTTAATCTGTTACAGTTTATCAGGAAAGAAAATCCGAGTGAGCTCAGGCCAGTGACTGTTGGTCTGTTATTGCAGCACAGCTTACGTGTAAAACTGATAACCTCAACTTTTCATACAAATTAAGTGAATGGGTTTGATTCCAAAATAAGCACATGATTATGCTCCAAGCCAGAAACATAATTTTCTTAAAAACAGAAGATTTGGAATTTTTGAAGTATGACTTTCGTTACATATATTATGGTTAAGTTTAGTTTTAGGAAATGTACGACACAGGGTGGCTAATCCAAAGCTATGTTTGAATACAAAAGGGATCATTCTTCTAGGGTTACATAAACTTAAATGCAAAACAGATTTTGGGATAAGCTGTTTCTCCATACCTTCGTCTCATTCTGGTGAAGGGGATATTTAATGTAGTGTTTCTTAAATGGGGATACTAGGACCAATAGGGAGATGTTTTACAGGTGGTGCAGTTGTTAGCATGATCACCTTGCAGCAGAAAGTGTTCCTGCTTCAAATCCCTGGCAGGACAGGAGTCTTTCTGTGTTGGAGTTTGTGTGTTCACAAACAACACGTGGCTGTTTTTAAGATAAGACTTTATTGTCTGTTCTTCACACAAACTTGAATTGCATTACAAGCTCAGAAGTTCTCACATCACATCACAATCAAATCACACGTAAAGGTCAGGTCATAAAAACAAGGTGAACTAGATGAATAGTCATAGTGGGAAATCACAGTGCACGAGGGGGTGTACATGAATAATGTAAGGTAGTTGTGTATGGAAATGTGAAAGTGCTCAAAGTTGTGTTGTAGTACTCGAGATCGGTCTTTTTTTTAAGGTTTCGGTCTCGTCTCGGAATCGAGAGCATTTTTACTCTGTCTTGTCTTAGACTGGGCGGACTTCAGATTTTAAATTAAGACCAATCAAGACCACCGCTGACACATCATACCTGTGATAAAAAGGAAAACACCCCTTTCTAAAAGATCAAAAAAACGTCAATGAATTTGTAGTTTTGCTTTTATCCCCGGTGGCGGCAGCAACCTTCCTGGTGATACAGTCTAAATGAGTGACACGCCACGTGCACACAAGATGATGAGTTCTCAGAGATGTTTATGGTCTTGGCCTTGTCTCGGTCTTGTCTTGGTCTCGGAGCACTCTGGTCTCAGAAATGTCTTGGTCTCGGTTAGGGTGGTCTTGACTCCAACACTAACTCACGGTGTCTTTGTGATGCAGAAATAAGTTCAAAATGTTTAAATCAGACTCATATTTATTTATCACATCTCAGCTTCTTTCATTCAGAATGCTGAATTAGCTGTGCAATATTTGGTTAAATTAAAATATGAGAATCTGGTACACAAAGTTAGATAAGCTAAGAGCCCTTCCTTAAGTGAACTGGAACTACCTTACATGGAAATGTTGTGCAGCCAAAACTTTGCAATATGTAATAGTGTTATAACTCTATCAGATTTGACTCTGTTTCCTTTTTGCCCCTGCAGTTCCTCAGACCATCAACAAACATTAAAACAATCACATAACCAACCCTCCAGACTCTGACCTCATATGTAATTCTCTTCCACTGTTACATGGGTTCAGAGAGGGAGAGGTTGGTGACGTGAAGCACCTCACTTATTCCAGGAACTCGCTGCCCAAAGATACTTCCTCTGAAAACTTTTCTATCCTCTCTGGAAGATGAGTTTTGATATTTTTTTATTAATTAAGTGAAGAGAGTGACAAACCATGAATGATTATAAACACAAGTATAAAGTGTCTCCTTACAGTCACATGTGAACCTGAACAAATTGTTTGAAATCAGCTCAAATACATCAGAAGGCAAAGCAAGCAGCCCTCATAATGAACTCTGCTCTGCATAAAATGAGCAGCTGGCAGCAGTAGCAGACAGTCTCCAGATAAGGCGGTCAGTAGAGACTTCACCAGCATGAATCACATTTTCTTTATCGGCCAAGTCATTGGCATCTTCTCCATCTCTGCCATTTTGCTCTTCCTCCTGGCAAAGCTGGTCTGCCGCCAGCCGGGCATCATGCAGGACGGTTACGGCTACGCGGTGCTGATAACGGGCTGCGACAGCGGCTTCGGGCACCAGCTGGCTCGATGCTTGGACCAGAGAGGGTTTGTGGTCTTTGCCGGTTGTTTGTGTCCAGAAGGAGCCGGGGCCCGCAGCCTGCAGAGTCTGAGCTCCAAAAATCTGAGAATCCTCAAGCTGGACGTGACCAGTGATGAAGACGTGAAGCAGGCGAAGAGGGTTGTTCAGGAAAACTTACCAGAGAAAGGTAAGAGATGTTCATAAAGAAAAAGACTCTTCTATGGTGTTCAATTTAATGTGTATGGAAGCTCATGTTTGCCAAGAAACGATAGTGTTGATAAAGTATTACTTCATTTTGATTCCTTGGTAATAATCATAGTTAGGAAATGTGCAGCTTTGTGCGACTGAATCTCATCATTTTGATCAAATTTTGCAGTTATAAGCCTGATTTTTAATCCATGTAAGATTTATAACCAACACCCTAGTTGAAGGAGATTTTATGATTTTAAGATTTTGTCAACTATCTTTCCATTTGTACACTTTTAACGTAAAATCTTTAATCTTACACTAAGTCATGATGTCCTCTAAGAATACAGTATCTAAAGAGTTTAATGTTCTTGGAGGCAAAGGGCCTCCGTAGATCAGGTTTAAGGTTTTACAATTAAAAACAATATTTTTGGCTGTTATCAAAGCAAAAAACTTACAGTTCCTCATGAATGTGACTTGCCATATTTTTCTTCTCTTGATGCGATGAACTTGCACGCGAACAAAATTTGCTTCCATTAAAGCTTTTTGAGATTGCTGTATAGAAAGTAAGAGGAAATATTCTGATCCTCTTAAATCAGATATCTTCAATGACCTTAAAATAAAAAATATAGATCGACATAATCTGAGATGCAGTTTTGTCTTTTATGCATTTTCTTTGCATAAATATAAAGGTAAAGAAAATGAGAAGTCTATTTGTTAAATAAAACCCTTAAAACGGCTTTTAGGACTCCTGATGATACCAGTAGGTCTTCTAGTGCAATGGTCCAAAGGACCCTCCTCCAAATCTCTCCATCTGACAGGTGTGGCAGAACAATATGCTCATTAGAGAGTATGATTATTAAAGTTTAAGGTAATAAAAGGCCACTCTAAAATGTGCAGTTGTATCACACAGCACAGTGCCACAGATGCCCCAAGTTGAGGGCGTGTGGATTTGGCACGTTGACTGCAGGACGGTCCACCAGAGCTGTCGCCCGTGAATTGAATGTTCATTTCTCTTATCCATAATCCATATCCCAAGTCAAGTTGATTAAATTAGTGAAAAACTAAACTATCTGATTGCAACGTGCTGCCTGGCCTACATTTTAACTTGTGCATAAAAAAAAAAACATATCAACCTGTGATTTTCATTCACTTTCAGGCCTGTGGGCGGTCGTGAACAATGCAGGCATCTCCGACTGGGCTGAGATCGAATGGAGCACCATTAAAGATTTCCACAACATGGTTGACATCAACCTTTTCGGCTGCATCAGGACCTCCATCGCGTTTCTACCGCTGGTCCGTGCCACCAAAGGTTAGCTCAGCCAGCTTGTTAAGTTTCTCTTCAACCTCTAATATTCTGAACTGTGGCGATGCTTTGAGTTAAAAATGATCTCTAACGTGTCTCGACTGTCACAGGTCGGATGGTGTTCATGTCCAGCATCTTCTCCTTCTTCAACTGCCTGAACATGGGAGCGTACAGCGTGTCGAAGAGAGGGCTGGAGGCGTTTGCGGACTGCCTCAGGGTGGAAATGGCCAGTTTTGACGTGAAGGTACGATTACATGCACATAAATCCTCTAACACTCTGAGGCATAAGATAAGAAAAGTCTGCGGTAGATTTCATGTGATGCCTGAAGTCAAACAGGAAGTCAGTGTTTTATTGCTCCAGTTAATGGTGCTTATCTGGTTTGAAAACAACATGAGACATTATAAAGGAACACTGTGACCTAAAGCTCACGCCACCGCTGACAGTATGTCATTGTTTGCTCACAGACATTTGATGATAGTAAATTAATATTTTGATCTTTATCTTTTTATCTGTCTTGCAGAGACTTAAAGGAGCTATCTATATGTTTGCTCCATTTGAAGCTGCTGCCTTCCCTCCATTAGCTCACTTTAGCTTAGCATAAAGACAGGAAACGGGGAGAAACACACGTCATGACTTTGCAACGATGGCAGAGTTTAAGTTTAGCACATCAGTTTGTGTTTTTGTACAAATCTTGGGTCTTTATCATGGCGAGGCAAGGGAAAGTTTAGCACTGGGGGAGATTTTGAAAGATTCTTCTATGATTCACACAGACATGTGGAAGTTTGAGTTGGTGTAGAAAAGCAACATATGAGGACTTTAAATTAGTAATGACCTTTTCTTTGTCATCTTTGTTGATTAAAAGCTTCAATTGTAGCGTAAGAAGCTTTTAAAGTTGTCAAAATGAACAGACTCATTCAGCCCGTATCTCCTTTTTTTTCCCGTCCACCTTTAGGTCAGCATCATCCAGCCCGGTAACTTCGGCCAAGCCACCAACATCGTGAGGATGAAAACGGCTTACGATATTTGGGAGAAACTAGACGACGAGCGGAAGCAGAGTTTCAACCAGCATTACATTAAACTCGCCAACGAGTACTTCCTGTCCACATGTAAGAGCGGATTCAAGAACGCCGACCTCGTCATCAACGCCATGCTGCACGCCGTCACGTCCGCTAAACCTAAAAGCAGATACCTGCTGGTGTCGACGATGGATATGTGTTTCTTCAAGCTCTTCCCGTTTCTCCCCACGGCTGTCACTGATGCGGTGTTTACGCTCAGCTCCATGTACACTAAAAGAAAACAAATGCTACATGCCAAATCGGAAAGACGACTTTGAAGAAATAAGGAAGCATCAGAAGCAAAGGCACAAATGATTTGCTTTACTTCTTTTAAAATGCACTCTTTTTGCTTAAATTATATTTCAATCACTGTTTTTATTGTATGTTTTAAAATGTTTAATTCATCTTGAAGTGTCTGTTAGAATAAAAAGTTTGTACCATGACTCTGGGTGTTTTGTCATTTCTTTATACACACATAAAAAATGTACAAAGCATGCATACACACTCTACTTAGGTTGTCACAATACCACAAACTAAACTCGTAAGAGATGTAATAACGTTACCACGGCAACAAAAATAGAAGTTCTAGGCACCCAACATTGGCTGATACCTTTTTTTAAACGTAACTTATTTGGGGCAAGTGTTTGCCTTTACTAGATAGGACAGCTGAAGAGAGAGGAGAGAACGGGGGATGACCTGTGGCAAAGGGCCCGGGTCGGATTCAAACCCATGGCCGCTGCTACAAGCACTACAGCTTCTGTACATGGGGCGCACAACAGAACCGCTTTGTAACTGGTGACCCTTATATCTTATTTTTTATTATTTGTAATCATACACGCTTATGCACACTGTATAAACTGCACAATATGTTGCCAGCGTTCCAGTTTTGTTTAGTCAATCTAATTTGATTAGGACTTGAGAAAATAAAAATGTTAGCTCAAAAGGCAAAAAAAACATTCTTTTAGTCAACACAAGACAGTCTTTGTAACATGCAATGTAGTCACTGATAGGAAAAACGTTGTCTTGATGTGCTTGCCTTCTTGAAAGCATGCTTTGTCGAGTGTGTTAATTGGGCATGGAAATGCGAGGAGGACACTGCGAAACATTAGGTGTTTTCAGTACAGAAATTCTGGGTACAACTGAGAGGAACTTCCTGAAACTCTCAAAGCCTCTTTTGTCCTGTGAAGAATGTTTCACACTGAAGTTACATAAACTGAAAGTGGGTTATGTTTTCTTATAAAATTAAAAAATGGTTATGAGGTTAGATGAAATGGGTTGGTGTGAGCTAAGGACATGGAACTAACTAGGCCTACTTCTAAGAAATTAAAACTTCTTGGAAAGCAAAGAATCATGACTTATCACTGTCAATGTTTAACGAGAAACCACTCATAAAATCACTGAGTGGAATTCCTAGTAGTTAAACCATCCCTTTAATGAACTTTGTGATAATGTAACCACATTGTGGTCAGATAATTACGAAGGAGAAGAAAACCTGATTAAAGACGGACAAGCAGCCAGAAGAGTGCGGTTTAATGCTCCAACACCATGTTGGTTGTTTCCAAAGCAAAATGTCCTTTCTTTATAAATTAACCATCAATAAACTTCCAGAGATTTACAAGTAAGTGTTCCAGTTTGAGTTTTAATACTACGGTTTTTGAGATAAGGGATGATTTCAGAACAAATACAAAAAGCTTGCATGTTTTCTTTTTCCACAGCCTAATGCATACAATTTGCGCTCAGACAACCAGTGAGTCTTTTTTTCAAAACCAGTTGCCACCTGGAAAGTAAGACGCAAACTTAATTACCGAATGACTGCTGTACATCGTGTTCTGACTCTTGAATATTTCTAAGGCGACAAAGTTATGTCAAGAACTGTTAAGTAATGTTCTCGCGAGATATTAAACAGAGTTATCAGGTTTTTATAAAATGAACTATCTCAACCAATATTTGAGGGATTCCTTTGAAATTTGGTAAAACCTTTATACTTTATACTCAAATGATACTTTTCTGAAAACGAAAGAATTCACATTTATGTGGAAGATTTAAAAGTTACACAATCATAATAGACGATCATCAGAACAATTTTGATAATTCCATAATCATTTGACTCATTCATAAAGTTAATTAACAGTCAAAAATTATTCATTTTACTCAAACGTTTTAGTGGATAAAACATCACGGCACTTTTGCAGTACATTTCAAACTGTAAATTTAATTACACCTGTGACATTTTAAAGTAAAAGATAATCCACACAAAGTTTCAGTTTATTTGCAAAAACAAACATGCAACTCAACCTGTAAACTGTTTTATATGAATTAAATAGTTGAAATCACTGTTTTAATATCCGGTTTGCTTCTAAAACATCCCAGAGAGCCACGGGGGCAGGAAGAGTCCGAATGTCCCGAGCAGACACACGATGATGAACATCCAGAGGAAGATCCGGTCCACAACCATGGCTACGTACTTCCAGTCCTCTTTTACCTGAAGAGACCAAAAAAAGTAAAGGACTCAATACCTGCAAATCTTGTCGAAAGAAAGGATAATAATAAGCGTATGTACTCACTGAGAAGTCTGCATCCTCAGCTCTGAGATGCTCTGCGATGTAGGTCACCCCCTCGAGGGCCGATACCACAGCAGGAGACAGAAAGGAGGCCGGTGTGCTCTGGGTCGTACCGTGCTCAACAGGAGGGTTGTCCCAGTCCAAGCTGAAGGTGGAGGGTCTCTGAGGGAGGATGGTGTAACCCAGACAGCGAGCAGAAGGAGGCGAGAAGGAGGAAATCCTCTGTCGACCTTCTATCTTCACCCCAAGTCCCCCGACATGGTCTGCGTCTTCATAGCTGTGGAGGTCGCAGTACTTAATTTGACCTCCCGTGTCCAAGATGTCGAGACGGTGGCTGCTGTGGCGAAGGTTGTCGTTCTCGTAACCATGGAGATCTATGTCTGACTCCTGAGTGATCCACGTGGAGGTGAAGTGGGAGTGGCCTGGAGTCCGGAGAGGGAGGAGCTTATCAGCGAGGTGACGCCGCCTAAGACACCGAAAAGATGATTCAAATTGAATAAAAGAAGCAAAAGTCCTCGCAGGTTAACCAAACAGCTGCTCAAGAGCTTCAACTATAAAATGTTGTTTACGTGCAGCTTAAAGTTTGACTTCAAGCTGCTTTAATCAATATTTTTACAGCATCATTTCTGCCAATGTTTAGCTGACCCGTCAACCTGCAAATCTTAAAAACACTTTTTAGTGCCTTTAAGCTTGTGTTTTGGTGCATGGTTGTCTGTTTTGGTCGCATACCTCTCTCGTTCGGTCATTTAAAACAGTTTCAAAGCTCTACACAAAAACAGCAAAACCATGAAGTATCTTTTTAATAACGAGTTCACTGTGTCATCTTAAAGGGCGACGGTCGATGTGTTCAAAGCTCGTTTCTGCTGCCCCCAAGTGGTCAAAGTACAGTAGTACTAGGTGGATTTTGGGAACAGTGTGTTCAAGGAGTGACTAGAAGAAGACCTTCAGTCACATTTCATTTCAATACTCGTCACAGCAAAGAAGCACCAAAACTACAACCTACAAATACAGAATGCGATGTTTAATGATTATTCTGAAATGAAAATCTTAAGTAACTTTTTTGTGTTTTCTGCAGAATCAGTTGCAACGTCTGAGTTTTGTTTTTGTGTAAACAACATCTGACACAGCTTTGTTTTCACGGCGTTTCCTTCAATGCAACATGGCCGCCTTCCTTGTTTCCTCATCTCACTGACCTGTGGACCGGACGCTTCATGCACAACCAACGAGGCACCGCCGTCAGGAACAACCTCCGAACCCACCGCGGCATCCTGTGAGTCGCCGACGAGCGGTGGTGCACGTTCAGCACGAACACGGTGATGACGATGGACAGCGTGACGAAGATCATGGTGAAGAGCAGATACTCGCCGATGAGCGGGATGACCAGCGACGTGGACGGGATGATCTCGGTGATGAGGAGCAGGAAGACGGTGAGCGACAGCAGCACGGAGATGCACAGCGTGATTTTCTCGCCGCAGTCGGACGGCAGGTAGAAGACGAGGACTGTGAGGCAGGAGATGAGGAGGCAGGGGATGATGAGGTTGATGGTGTAGAAGAGCGGCAGGCGGCGGATGACAAAGTAGTAGGTGATGTCGGGGTAGATCTCGCGGCAGCAGTCGTATTTCTTGATGTTGTAGGTGCCTACGGCGTTGACGATCGCCCACTCGCCGCTCTCCCAGTAGTTCTAGAAATCAGAATTGTTTTAGCCAAGTGTTCCTACTGTCGTCCTCAGAGGATACACCCGGCAGACTTTATTTAACATAATCCTGCAGGTTTTAAATCTCAGTTTGATGTGGGTTTTATTAAAGATGAAAACGTAACATTGGCTCCCACCTTCAGGTCCACCGTGTTCTCGAAGGGCTCCAAGTCGATCTTGGCGCGGTCGTACGTCCACGAGCCAAACTTCATCTTGCAGCTCTGCTGGTCGAAAGGGAAGAAGGTGACGTCGATGGAGCACGAGGACTTGTAGATGGCCGGGGGAACCCAGCGGACTCGACCCGTGTGGAAGAGGTGCGCTTTGGTCATGTGGGTGACAGCGAACTCGCCATCTGCACTGAAAAAGGGAGATTGCGAGGTAAAAGATTAGCGTTGAGACTCGGGGGGGAAAGGAAGTAATGCAAAAGATTGAGAAAAAAACAGGTACGACAAGATACATTTAAAACTTTGTTCTAAGAATATCCACGTTTTTTTTTTTTTTTTGCCCCCTCGGGCTCCCGTAGTTCACATCCTCCCCTCTCATTTACTTCCTGCATCTACTGCTTTACCCTGAAACTTTTGCTTGTGTAAAATTTTAATGATATGTATATATGAAATTGTTTTTTGTCATTTCTTTGTCATTTATAGTTTATTTTTTTTTTTTTTATTTTGTTTGGGGGGGGAGGTTTTATCTAAGGCCATTTAGTCCAGTCTTTTGTTCCTACCTCCTATGAGAGAATCTGTGTTTTTCTATTAAATGTATATCTTGTTCTCAGACTATAACCCAGCATTGACAATTTACATTTTTTTAATTGATCCGTTTTATTAGTTGTTTCATAAATCTCTCCGTCTGCACTGGAAAACAAGAGAGAAACAAAAAGCAAGCAATTCTGAAAAAGGGGGAGAAAATAAAGATTTGATTTACATAAGACACGACTTCTTCCTTTTGTTTTTCGGGTTTAAAGGGCTGAAAAGTTTCCGTCTCATCTTGTTTCAAACTCCCGAGGTGAAACAAGAAACCTCTGGCTATTTCCAATTCACACAGGAGACGATTAATAATGAATCACTGGATGCTAACGACTCGACACGGCACCCATGATGCAACTTTAGTCAAACAAGGGCTGAGGGAGGAGAAAGTTTCACCTCCTTCCAGACAAATTTCAGATTTAATACTTCCTCGCGGCCCCCGCGGGGAGGAAACCAGACCGAAGCTGTGTGATGCAACAAAGCTGGAATCAGGCTCATTTATTCAGCGGGCTCATTTACATTTATCACACACTGGTCTGCACAAATCTGCAGAAACACTGTGATGTTACCGAGCCGCTTGACCTTCCTCCTCTTCACACGCTCTTCACGTTGTCACTGATCAAGCAGGTAATTGATCACTACAGATAATTTCTCGCTCCACCTGCGGAAATTCAAAGTCGTGTTCGTTTCAGAGCAGGAGCAGCCGGAAAATTACAACAAAGCTTGATATAAAGAGATAGAGAGATGCACTTCTGCAGCATCAAGTTGTTGCATATTTAGCAGCACATGAGCTCTTTAGAGGGCCAACACGACGCTCTTATTAAAGCTTTATTCTGCATGGACATACTCTACAACTACTCATCCATTCAATCAGAGATTTCCCTCAATAACTTTCCTAACGACAGAATCTTCTTAGTGAGGAGTGTCGTTATTTTACATATATGTAATATGTCCACCTTTCAGGATGTGCGCTTTTTTCAATTCGTCAGTTCTTTACTTTTTCTTATTTCTGCAAAGAAAATCTGCAGGCGATGAGTTACTTATCACCTGCAGGAGTCGTAAGAAGTCATTCATCATCTCAGCGGCACACAGAAATAAACAATGACGTATGAAATGCACAAATCCTGAGGGCTCGCAAATTCAATCTCTACTTTCGCGTTAAAGACCTGAGGATCTACTGTGTTACTGTGTGTGTGTGTGTGTGTGTGTTTTTTGTACTTGTTGTAGAGCACGATGTCCGGCACCCAGATGAGCTCTGAGGGAACTCTGATGGACGTCACGTTATCGAAGTCTGACGGCGTCCACTGCAGCTTGTAGTCCGTCCACTCCTGTCGACACATGCACCGTTTTTAACACTTTAAAGGAAAAGATCCACTTTGAACCACATTCAGTCCCTCAGCTCTTCTCTCTTTTTTTTTTTTTTTACCTGTTTCAGCCAAACGTTGGTCGTCATCATCTGATTTTTTTCATCCTGCAGTGGAGACACAAATGGACAAAATGGACATGTGTGTGTGTGTTGAGAGTGTGTCAAAGAGTGTGTCAGAGGACGTGACATGCCGATGTTCTCACCACGTCTATGAGCTGAGCGATGGAGAGGCCGAACTTGACGATGACCACGTCGGTGACGTTGCGAGCGGGACGGGTCCACTTGCTGTAACCTCCGAACAGACTCCTGAAGAGATCATCCTCGGTGTGGAGACGAGTCCAGTCCTCAGAGAGAGCTGACACAGAGACACCAGGAAAGAATCCTTTCAGTTATAAACCGAGATAATGTTTTATGCCATGTACTTCTGTCTCCAAATACAAATGATTTGAGATACTATAATCATGACGCATAACTCTTTTTTTTAATGCTTTTTCTGGTTTTACTCTTTGCTTGTTAAGGTTAAAACGTGTTGTTTATTTCCTGCGTCTCTTCACCTTCCTACGTTTTGAAGGACTATCCCTCCACGTTTTCCACTTTGTAATCTCTTCTTCTACTGAAGTTACACAGCAGAGAGATTTAGAGAGAAGTGTTGTCTCCTCCTTCTGGAACAAAAAAAAAAAAAAAAAAAAAGCAATTACCTGAACTTTATGTTCATCAAATGTCACAGATCGAGCCGGAGATCTACGGCTGATTCTATTTTAATTCCATGTTACGCAGCAGAACTGTTGGAGATAATTGAGCAAACACTTAGCCAAGTTTTCCCAGCAGTCATCACTCATAATTTCATGCTTGAAATAAACCTCTCTAATCTCCGCTGTTCGACCTTTCGCGTCGGCTGTGATTTGATTTGTCTCGCAGGTGGAGGCTGCACATGTTGAAATATCGCCTTCTTCTTCTGCTCACCTCTCCCTTCTTTTCTCTCTCTCTGAACTTTGGCAAGCAATCTGGCATCACCGGCGAGCAATTTAGGATTAGCCGGTGCAAGAAACGGCGAGCCAAGAGCACAAACTGTGCAAATGTGTGTAATGCCAGTTCTTGTGATTATATTGGCTATTTATAACCCATCAAATGATGTTTCAGGTGAGGCAGTGCCAGAGGAGGGGACACAGATAACATGTTCTTAGGATTACGAGGCATTTTGTGTGGCAGGATTCAGCCACACAGACTGTTTATGATCTTTTCCTTGTTGACAACAAATGATTCTGCTTTAAACTGTGACAGAAATATGAAATTATGTTGTTTTTTTGTATGTTGCTGTTCATCAAGTTTAATGCATGACTTGTCCTTTAAAATGCACAGGTGTCAAATGTTGATTTACTTTATTAATAAGTTTAAAAATGAAAATTCGTTCGTGTAACATTAAAAAAACTCCTTCAGTCATTTCTGATCGACTCTAATGAAAAATGTGAAACGTATAAACTGTTAATGTAACTAAGAAGATCACGAATATTTATTCACACATAAAATAAACATGAACATGCCTGTTAAGAAGGAATCTGAAACATCAGGGAATGTGTTTGAATAAAAGCTGTAAAAAGCTTATTTCTGGTTTAGAAAAACTAAATATACAGATAACAACTTTCAGAAGTTTTCTCTTGGTGGTTTTATTTTGGGTTTTTCTATCATTACAACAAAAATATTTTTCCATTTTACATAATTTGTCTCTTTCTCTGTCTCAGCTCCAAGTTTAATAAAATTTGGGTTTATAAGTTTTCATAAAATGAATCGAGAATATATTACATTATTTTATTGGACAATAAAAGTAGCTTATATTACAGCTTGATAATTAATTAAAATGCTCTTAATATTCGCATATATATGTTGAGCTTTTTATTATAACATTTAAGCTTAAATATACAATTTGAATATTATATAGAGCCTATATAATCCTAAATGCACATGTAAGTGTCAACATTGCTTTGTTAATAACAAAAACACTCGTAAATAGCAGAACCACATTGTTAGTCCTTATAGAAATATTAATAAAGTGTTTCTAAGAATTTTACAAGAATATAAGAGTTTTCTTTGTAGAAAAAAACATGTCTAAATCCAGTTTAGAAGTGTTCATTTGATATTAATAATTTATGAAACACAGCAAAGGGGATTTCACGGTCTTTACTTACCGTAGGTGATAAGGATCCAGACGCAGTAAAGCGATGATAAATATTTTTTCTGCTCCATTTAAACATAAAGACGCTTAGTTTGTCTGAGAAGTTTTTAAATTGTGTTTGTTCATCGCTAAAAAAAAAAGAAATAAAAAAAAAGAAACAGGCTCCGTTCACTGCTCGTCTTCAAACAGCTGCAGGGATCTCAGTCAGCGTTCAACACAATGTACATTTCAACTCACTGCTGCCGCCACCAGATGGCGCCTATGAGTAACCGAGAGAAAAGCCATACAAGCTTCGAGTAGAAGAAGAGTTCTTGTTCGGTGGTGCTTTAAAGTGCGCATGATAGGAGTAAAAAGTAAGAGGTCTCACTCTGCTGCTGTATTCGTGGCTCAGATCAGACAGAAAGTCTTAAGTGGCAACTACACTTCATAATTACGAGTACATCCAAGTTATTGGTATAAAAACACAATATTTTGAACAGATACTTCCTGGTATGTAGTTTATATAATTGTATGCACATATTATAGTATTTTATGTGTAATATATTCAGTCTGTAATTGGGTTTTTTAACAGGAAGACGCCCAAACATCTTACGTAAAAGTTATCTTTTACTTGTATTTACATAAAGCTGTTACTAGATGACTGTTAGCTCACATGTAACTCCGACTAAGTGTAAAGAGTAAATAAATTAACTATACAAACTAAAATAAACTTGAGGTTTCAGTGTTGACACCTGCAATACCAGATCATTCCACAGGATGGCGGTATAATGCAACGCTTCTTTTGATAGTTGGCTTAGATGACCTTATCTTTATGAAATTATTTTATTTCTTTAAAAGTGTCAAAAAATGAATGATTAATAACGTCTTCTTCTACTTTAATTATTTAATTGTAATATAAATTCAAGATAAATAATTCCATGTTCATCGCTGTAATGTACAGTGATGAACAGCATCTGAAACTTTTGCATTAATGTAGATCCAGATTTTAATACTAAAGGAATCAATACTTACAAAGTTGTTTATCATTTTATATCGTCATCAGAATTTATTCAATTTTCTTTACTTGTATTGCTTTATAGCATTAACTACGTTTTGAGACCTGCTTGTTGTATTTTTCTTATTCCTGTTATTTACATTTATTTTATGTTTGTTCATTACTCTCTGTTTGACCTGACAAGATGTTTACTGGGTTATTGTCCTGAGTTTCTGCCTTTACTTTGTCTGTAAAGATCTGTTTTTAAAGGTAATATATTTTTAAAGTTATTATTTATTTGTTATTATTTAATCAATTTACTGAATATATAAATTAAACTAATATATTTCCATACAAATAAAATCATATATTAATATACATGTAAATGTATTTGTTTTACATTATTATTGCAGTGTTTTTCTTTTTCTTTCTTTGTAAATTATTTTCTGCTTTCGACACTAAAAATGTCACCTTAAGCGTTTTGCTGTTTAGCTTTATCTTTTCTCCCCTTTTTATAACATTATGCTTATTGAGACAAAATCAAATGTAAATTCTATTATATTTGGTGTATTCTTTTAATGTAAAATACGTATAAGAGTATAAAAAAGATTTTGTTGTATCACTTGCAGCAACACCAACTTTTTGATCGCTCGGTTTAGCTGCTGAGTGAGCCCTCTCGGATATCGACGATCTTTGTGAGTAGCTGCGCCTCTCCGTGTCAACATCAGGAGATGAGACAACAACTAGCGGCTTTTAACTACTAATGGACCCACGATTTACTCACCTGCTTCAGTGAGCACCTCAAGGACTTGTTCTTGGAGTCAGTCGGTAAGACAGAAGAGGCTTTTAATAGACAGAAAAGAAGGAAATGACACATTTGGTTTGGGGGCATTGGTTTGGCTCGGAAGCTAGGACTGATTAGCTAGCTTAATGTTAGCTAGCAAGATTAACTCTGCATTAACTTACCCCTCGGATGCTCGAGTTTCCAAACTTTTGAACTCGTTTACTGCCTTTAAGGCGTTCATGAGTTTAAATTATTTTCATGGAAACACGACGAACCCTTTAAAGTTTATCGTTTAGGTTTGAATTCTCAGAGCCAGTCCTCCTAACATGAATTATGCATAACCTTACTGTTGTAATGTTACACCGAAACACTAGTTACATGTGAGCAAACATTGACATGCAATACATTAAGTATTTTTTGTTGCTATCATTACTATTGATCTAGGTACGAACATTGTCTCCGACTTCCAGAGTTTTCTGTGTGACTTGAGGGGGCGTTCACGTCATTCTCCGAGGATAGAGCTCCTTTTTCCGATTATTCCCCACCACTTGAATGCAGGGTTAGTAAACACGTTAGCTTCAGATGGAAACAGCTGCCTTAAGGTGACAGGTAGTAGTGACTGCGTATTACATTTGTGCAAACAGCTCTCTAAAACCTTTCTGGAGCTCATGACTGAAACTAAATCTGCTTTAATTTTGACATTTCAACTTGTTTTTTTGTGATCAATTCGGTATTTATTTGTGTTTTTAAAGTCGCCAGTCAGATTAAAGACTGATTTGTTGCCTGAGTGACTTAGTTTGCATGAGCAGCAACATGTGAGCTTACAGTGTTATTTGTCAGCAAATATTGAGGTGTGTTTTGTTTGTCTTGTAGGTCTGCATGACAGCAGCAGCAGATCTGACCTGCTGATGGGGAAATAAACACCACAGATGGAAACCCAGAGGAAGAGGTGAGTCTAGGTTCCTCATGCAAGCCTGTTTTCTCTTTATGGCTGATACGCTGGATGTGATCAACATGTGACATCGCCTACAGGATGGTTGTGCTGCTCACTTCTGCTTTCACTCGCATAATAACCCCTGTTGTTCTGCATGTTTATTCCCTGCTTTTGTCAGCCACCCGCACCTCTTCTGCTCCTCTTGAAGTTGTTGTTTTTATTCCTGTCCGTGTCGGAAGAACATAATGTTCCCATGAGCGGCTGTTCGCTAAAAGACGCGTTGTGTGTAAAACTTAATGGTTCATTAACAAGTAATTAACTACCTTTTTTAATGTATTTTACTGATCATCCTTTCAGCTCTGAGGATGACAGTGAAGGAGAGCGAGGTCTGCTCCACACCTGGAAGGGCTATTCCTGCAGTGTCACCCCAGAGAGGGTGCTCCTTCCCCGGCCTGTCCTTCAGGTCGCCCTGGGCACACGACATGGTGTCCTGTTGGTGGAAGGTAAACACTTAATCAGGTTTTTGTTTTGTTACATATATATTTCTGTAGCTGAAAGTAAAAGAAATGTGAGCGGAGCTGAGTATGTTGTCGCTTTTTCACGTCCGAGAATACAAATCTTTTGAAATCCTGCCATGTTCCGCTCTGATTTATCGTCTGTTGTATCGTCTATCAAGGTGGGCAGGTGTACAGTTTTGGTGAGTTGCCATGGAAGCAGAGTCAACCCCTCGAGCCAGAGAAACCCACCGTGGAGAGCGCGCTCAGCGGCCAGCGGGTCGTCTCCATCGCTGCGGGAAGCTTCCACAGCGGAGCCGTGACCGAGGATGGAGGCGTCCACATGTGGGGGGACAACACCTCGGGTCAGTGTGGCTTGTCAGGCCTCAGCACCGTCCCTAACCCGACACCGGTTGCTCTTCTGGACTCTGACATCAACCCGCCGCAGACGGTGCCCGTTCTGGAGCTGGCCTGCGGGGGTCAGCACACGCTCGCTCTGTCTGCGCAGCGGGACGTTTGGGCGTGGGGCAGTGGCTGCCAGCTCGGCCTCAGCGTTACTGTCTTCCCCGTGTGGAAGCCGCAGAAGGTTGAACACTTAGCGGGCAGGTATGTGCTGCAGGTGGCCTGCGGGGCGTCGCACAGCCTCGCTTTGGTGCGCTGCCTTGGCCCACATGATCTGCAGCGCCCCCATGTGGACAAATGCAGACAGTGTAACCAGCTGCTGTACACCATGACCGACAAAGAGGACCACGTCATCATCTCTGACGGACATTACTGCCCCATCGGCGTGGAGCTCACCGAGGACGAGGGCTGTTTGGAGGCGCCCGCACCGATACAAATCCTCAGAACGTCCCCGTCCGAGCCGGTCCTCCCCTCCCAAACATCAACCTCGAACTCAGGCTCCCCGGCGCCCTCTGAAGGCTTTGAGCCCTCCTGTGATTCCACTCAGGAAAAAGAGGAATCGGTTTTGGCTAATGGCGCATTGGCAGCTCTGGAGTCAGACTCTTTTGCTCAGTCTCAAAGCGGAGTGAAGAGTTCTCCGTATCCAGATGAACAAGCGGTCAAAGATTATCTGCAGAAACTGTCGGACAACACGCAGGTGGAGCAGACAGCGAAAACCAACACTGGAGGACTGCACACTCTGCTGGTGAGTCGGACTCTATCGCAGTTTAAAACACGTTAGTACCAGATGCTGCTCAGGGAGACTTTGTCCTTCTAGCCCGAGGAGAACCACCCCAATATGACATATTCACAACTAAGATACAGGTTTACATCATTTTAATCGACGAGAAGGACTTGCACCTGACATCTGCTTTCATTAATATTGTTTTTTATTTTTTTATTGCTACATTTAAGGAATCAGATTTGATCAGTCGGACCTTCTCTCTTCAGTTGTCCTATCAAATGGAGGCGAAGGCTGAAAAAAAAAAAAGGAACGTTTTGAGACAAAGACACTAGAAACCGGTTTCTTTTTAGGGGCAAATATTGGGACCAAAAAACTATAAAATAAAACTATAAAATAAAACAAACAAACTCTGATTCTGATCTGCTGATAGTAAACAATGAGTTTGTGTTTTCAAGCATGACTCTTCTCTGTTTTTTTCCTCCAGCCCGCAGCAGCAGGTCTCTCCACCTCCAACCCCGGCTCTGCTCTCAACAGCCTCGTTTCTTCCTGCGCCTCAGCAGTGGGCGAGCGAGTCGCCTCCACATACGAGGCTTTATCCCTCAAAAAGATGATGAACTACCTGCCCTCAGGAGTGCCCAGGCCAGGCGGGACGACGGGCGATAACACCACAGATCGAGTCCGCCTGGAGGACTCCACGCAGGCCAAGAAGAGCTCCAGCACGGGAGACATCCGCGAGGAGGAGGCGGAGGGTCTGCGCCGCCGTCTCTCACTGCCAGGACTCCTCTCTCAGGGTAGATACGCTGTTCACGTCTTATCCTCCTCCTATAATCTGCTGCGTAAGTACGCCTTGCGCATGTGCGGGTTGATGTTGCTCTGTGTGCGTTTGTCTTTGCCTCAGGCTTTCTCATCAAGCTAATCACCATGGTAACGGCCACTTGGAGGCATGAAGGACAGCAGCGGAGAGGAGAGGAGAGAAATAATGTCAAGACATCTTCATCTGCAAATCTAGGACCATAAATTAAGGAAATCCAGAATAACATAAGGATGAAATAACTCAAGAAAATCTCTTATTAAGACTGTAAAGTGCAGATTTAAGCTTTTTTTATTTGATTTAATAATAATAAGAGTTTTCAGGATTTGGCTCCTGAATGTCGTCGATAAATCAAATCTTTCAGCCTTAAAATTTGATGTTCATACTTTAAAACCCACAAGACCACAACCCAAACACAGATGAAAAACGTTAGGTATTTCATTTTTGATTATTAATATTCTACTCCTCTTTGTTCTTTAATTTACAATTTAATATGTTTACATTTTGGAGTCACTGCAGGAAAAAAAGGGAAATTTCAAGCAATAACCTCATAAAAAGAGGTCAAGAACTGAGTTTGCGGACACGTCTTTTATGATAATATAATGCTGAATGATCACCTTCTGACCTGAAGTAATTGGCTCTCGTCAAAGCCGGTTTATCTGGACCTTAAGGTGTTTTCAAATGTCAGGATTGTGTTTGACTGAAAATGATGGGTAAAAATAAGAGACTGTTGTCAAAGTGTAAACAAACATCTATCGTTTTCTCTCCTCTGGTTCCTCCTGTATGTCTCCATGTTTGTTTTGTTGTGCTGCCCGCAGGCTTTCTCCTCACTGTTTGTCTGCTGTGCTGCAGCGTGTGTTTGACCCGCTGCTGTCTCTGTTGGTGATGACACACACATCGGTGCTTTCTGATGAACTTTGCACCAGAGATTCATTCAGTTTGAGGGAGTGTCTGGGGATTTGGCCTTCAAAACATGTCAACATTTTGCAGATTTTATTAGGTTACGTTGATTATAATTAGGTTTAATGCCAAGTCGGTTTTTAAACACCAGGTAGTTTGCCTTCGTATTTTTGTGCAGAATCATAAACAAACAAGAGCAAAGAAAAACAGGAATACTTAAAAGTCCAATTTAGGACGAGAATATACAAAATCTATATCTCAGTTCAAACTAAAAGTATGTGATTAAGTGGCTGACTGAAGTCAAGAGTAGCTTCATCCATGAAAGACATTGATGACAAAAAAAAAAAAAAGAAGCAGTGAAAGTTGTGTTATCTTTGGTCCTACAGTCTCCCCTCGGCTGCTGAGGAAAGCTGGTCGTCCCAGGATGCGCGCCATGGCCCTCACCCCGCTGGGAGGTTTGGTCCCAGAGGCCCAGGATGTGTTTCCCACCCTGCAGACGGAGGTGTGGAGCTGGGGACACGGCGAGCACGGACAGCTGGGACATGGAGACAGTCTGGCCAGGTAGGAGGGAGTCTCTGCAGTGCAGCTGTCGGTTAATAAATAATTTGCACAGAACAACGACTCTCGATCAGAGCTTTGCTTGCACGTCCTGTTGTCAGGCTCTTGGCATTGGGCAGAGTACATTCAGGGAATTGGCTTAGAAAAAAAACTTTAAAACAAACAGACTTTGCACAGCAACATAAAGGCTAAAAACAACCCAGAATGCTTCACTCTCTGTCGGAGCTTTGGTAAATATCATTAAAAATTGACAACCTGTAATTGTTTCATTCTGCAGTAAAAAAAAAAAATCAATCTGATGATTTGGCATCACTTTCTATCTTTGTTATTTCCTGTAGAGCAAATTATAACTCAAGACTCTAATGTAACGATGATGGTAACAGCTGTTGTGGTCCACTTTAAAGACGCTCATAAGTTCTGACAGATGTGCGATGTGTGTGCGTCCAGGTTACAGCCACACTGCATCAAGAGTCTGAACAACAGGGAGGTGGTTCGAGTGGTGGCTGGTGCTCATCATTCCCTCGCTTTGACTGCTCAGTCTCAGGTCAGTTCTTTACCTTCTACTTTGCTTTCCATTTCTGGCCTAGATCACCTTCGGGTTTAATGGCGTAAAAATGCGTTCCTTTCTTCCAGGTGTTTTCATGGGGAAGCAACAGCTGTGGTCAGCTTGGACATATGGAGTCCCCCAGCACTGTCCCTCGCCTCGCAAAAGTAAAGAAACGTCTCCCTTTCATATAAATACACACTAATACAGAAAAAGCTTGACGTTCAATAACACACCTCCCTCTGTGCTCCAGCTGTCAGAGGGGATCCGTGTGTGGGACGTGAGTGCAGGAGAGAGACACACGGTCCTGCTTGCAGACGGAGACTGCATCCAGCCGATTATTTACTACAGCGGGCAGCAGGTGAGGGAGGGGGAGGAGGAGCGCCTCGCAAAGGAAACGGAGGAAGCAGGGAAGGAGGAGGAGGAGGAGCAGCGTGCGGGGGGCTACACCCAGCAGCCCGTACTGTTACCCTTCTGCATGAACGTGAGGACCAAAACACTGCTTAATTTGTGCATGTTTTTCCTCTCTTTGATTGAATCCTTCTAGATGTTGATAAAATGCATGATTGTGCATGTTTCTATGTTTTCCAGCTGCGTTATGTGAGCAACGTGTTCGCCGGCGGTCGGAGCTGCGTGGCGCTCTCAGACCGGAACGTGATGGGCTTCATCGCCAGCCTCCATGAGCTCGCATCAGCCGAGAGGAAGATTTACTGCAAAATGAGCAACGTAAAGATGCAGATCATACGCCCCCTGCTGGAGCTGGGTAAGAATGACGCATGAATTAGGAACAATCATTTTTCTGTCCTTTTTTATTAGTTAACGTTTCTGTGTCCTCCTTCAGAGTCCCTGAGTTCTGCCCTCGGTCAGGTCACCCTCGGGCTCCTGCAGACTCTGGCAGGCCGCTTCAGCCTCCTGTGTCACCTGACGGGGCAGCACGCCGCCAGCCTCACCGCCAACCTGCGCCGTGGCAGAGACGTCAAGAGCTTGCTCATCCTGGACCACTCTGACATCTTCCTTCACTGTTACAAGGAGTGCGTGTTTCTTCATCATGAAAGATGTGAACAGGTCATGACGTTTGATCATTCGTTTGTCTAAAACTTTTCTTTTCGTCACTGCTCAGGTACAGCAGCGCTTTGGGCGACTTCCAGGTGATGGGAGGATTTCAGTGCCTGACCAAACCCTCACTGTGAGGAAACACACAAACACAACATGTGTCATTTGTGGCAAATAAGAGAATATTACTAAAAGAGAATTGTGTACTATTGTAATTTAAATTAACCAGTGGTGATTTTCTCTGCAGAGATTTCTTCGGGAAGACTCCTGAGCTGCTTCAGAAACTGTCTGAGTGCGGCGAGGAAAACCCTGCCATGTCCGACCTCCTGGTGGCGCTCTTCTACCTCCCAGCTCGCCATCTTCATGAATACGGACGTCTGCTGCTCAAACTGGCGACCTGCTTTGAAGTGGTGTGTAACACCCGCTCACATTTATACACATACGGAAGATGAACTCTTTGTTTATATCGTATCAGTGATTAAAAATGAACATCAGTGTATTTATTGAGCACTGTCTCAAATTTCTGTTTGGAAAGGCTGTAAAAAATAATTTATAATTTTCTCTTATTCTGTGGTTACATTTAAAAATCTTTATATTCCACAATTTATATGAACATTTATGAGTTTTTAAACTTAGAAGTGCTTTAGTTTACTTGCTTGTGTTAATGCTATGTTTATTTTTATGCACCAAAACATCGACAAAAATCCATATTTACATATAAAATACTAAGCAATAAACCTGATGCTGGTTGAAAACATCTACGATAACAAACTTGATTTATTAGCATAATAGTCTGGTTTTTTTTTTTTAAAAAGCCTTCAGAATTTGGGGATTTTCTGTTGTTAAAATCAACACTCTGGCTCCATGCTAATAGGTCAGATCAATATTTCTGTGTTTGTGTCTTCAGTGCTCCGATGACTACCAGAAGCTGCAGGACAGCTGCTCTAAGTTCGAAGCTCTGGTGCTCCAGCTGAAGAAGAAACGAAAAGAAGCCGACTACACCTTTAATTTCTGGAAGAACTTCCCCGGCAAGATGACGGTAAAGTTTTGCTGAGTGTGTCGTATTGAGTCCTCGAGGTGTCACATGATGTCGCAGGCTGGCTGAATGGTGTCATTGTTTTTTTTTCGCCAGGAATCTCTGAGAAAACCTCAACGCCGCCTCATCTGTGAGAGCAGCAACAAAGCCCTGACGCTGCAGAACGCCGGCAGGTTCTCCGTCAACTGGTTCATCCTCTTCAACGACGCCCTGGTCCATGCACAGGTGAGACACACACTCACACACACACACACACACACACACACTTTTCATCAAGCCCTTTCACATATTTCAGACACTGTAACTTGGTATTTTAAGCGTTTGTGTGTGTTTGCCTCCGTGCTGTCAGGGCGTGGCGCCTGTTAAAAGTCTTGTAAGTATGCAGACAGAAGCAAATATCAACACGGTGACTTAAACTCTTCCCTGTTCCCCGTCCCCCTCTCCCCTCCTCTCTTTATTATGCGTGTGACTTAAACTCTCCCCGTCCCCTCTGCTCTCTTCTTTATGTGTGTGTGCTTGCGTGTTTGTGTGTGAAGGACTTAGGGCTCTGTGTCATTGGAATAAACCCTTTAACAGCTGATTCATATCAAAACTCATAACAAACACTACGGTATGTAAATGCTTAAGACATTTCTTGGCCTATATGCTCCAAAATATGACAGACGTATAATATAAGGCCCTAAAAGTTAGACATTTATTTATTTTTTAGTCTTAAATTACACTGACAGTCACTTGGCGTCCGGTCAAATTTCCATTGACATGAAGCTCTTTCTCGTCTCTCGCCCTGCGCCTGCTCTCTGATTGAAGGAGACTGCATGAAGGATGAACTGACTGTAACCACGCCTCTTTGGATTTACATTTAATGTTAAACAATCCTGCAACACGTTGCAACGGGAAAAACAATAATTTTAATATTGTAAAGAAAATGAATTCCTTCCTTTTTAAAGCTTAGTTTTCACTGTTGTTTTATTTGTAATTTGAACAGCTGTCGCACGATTTTAAAGGGTAATTTCATAAAGTGGAAATATCGTTTTTGATGCTTTAAATTATAAGTACCAACAGCTTCTAGTTCATTCCTCCTCAGCAATCTCCTTCTCTTTCTCCCTGTTCATCTCATTTTCTTCTTCTTCTTCTCCCCTCCCTTTCTCTTCAAGTGTGCACCAGTTGTTTGGTCATCCTGCACTTTTTGATCTGTGTTTAAAATGAAGGCTGAGAAAGAAATGATTTCGTCCTCCGTGTCTGGTGACTTAAATCTTTTCAGCTGTGTGAAGAAGAAGAAGAAGAAGATGATGAAGGGTGTTTTGAAAAAAGAGCGAGCATGCTTTTAACACATGTTGTGATGCATGACTGAACCTGGCCTCAGGTTAATCTTCTCCTGAAAGTACTCACCTAAATGGAGGATATAGCCGCCCGTTTTAATCCTTAATTTCCAACATTGAATAAACTTCTTCTGTACATCATTTTACTTCTCTTCTTATCATCTCTTCCCTCTTACTTTTAATACTTCCTTCTCTTCTTTTCTTCACTTAATTTTTTACTTCATCCTCACTAGCTATACTTTTCTTCATCGTGTAATTTTCACTCACTTATTACATCAATTCTATTTTTTTCTCCTAATTGATTTCTTTTTCATTTCCTTCCTCTTTCCTTCTTTACTTTCTTCCTCTTCATTTTCCTGTCCACTTATCTAAAGTACCTTTGTTTACCCTTTTCTTTGCTTAAGTTACTCTTCTTTCTTTTCTCTGTTTTACTCTTTTTACTGCCCCTCTCATTTTTCCATTTCCTTTTTTCCTTTCCTAATTTCCTTCGCCTTTTCTTCCATCTTGTGAGCCTCCAACTATTAATTAGAGAAGGGTTGGCGTTTTAACTTTTACAGCAGGTGTATCCTGTCACTGGTTTTTTTTGTAAAATTGTTCAGTATAATATTTCAAAATGTTTAGGATGAACTTTGTCATAAAAAGAAAAGGCTTTATTTCCGCTCCTGTGTATTTGTAAGACCCATACAGTATTTATTAATCAATAGTGTCACTGTCTTACTGTGTGGACAGATATGTTGATAAGAATATTAATGTGTCTTCTTTCTTTCCCATTTGTAAATCATTTGCTTGTCTTTCTTCTTTCTTTTTATGTCATCATTTCCTTCTCCCTTTCCTTCTTGTCCCTCTTGTCTCCTGCAGTTCTCCACCCATCACGTCTTCCCTTTGGCCACGCTGTGGGTGGAGCCAATCCCAGAGGAGAACACCGGCATGTACGTCCGTAGAAACAGAAAACAGCTACATATTTATAGAATGAATAAAACATTCAATATGGCTCTCGAACCGTTTCCTGCCTGTTTTTCTAATGTGTGATTTTCTATTTCTTGGTCACATATTCCTGCTGTACCTCTCCCGTTCTGTCTTTTAGTCTTTGTTTTCCTTCTTTACGGTATTTTTCAGACTGTACTAGTTTGTGTGTGTCTGTGTGTTTGTAGATACGGATTAAAGGTGATCACGCCCGAGGAGACGTTTACCCTGTTGGCCTCCTCTCCCATGGAGAAGGTAAATATGTAACACCAATCAACTTGACTTCACCTTAAATCTACATTTCAATTTGTTTCCAATAACCGGATAAAACGGAAGATATCATTTGAAAAGTATTTCTGTATTCTTTCCTAGGCTAAGTGGCTTCGCTCCATAAACCAGGCGGTGGAGCAGGCGCTGAGCGGGGCGGGGCAGGACGCAGCATCAGTCAGCTCGGGGTCGGGTCAAAAGTTGGAGCCTCCCAACTCCAGGACGGCCTCGTACACTTTTTATAAAGACGGACGGCTGAAAGATGCGAAGTACGAGGGGCGCTGGCTCACTGGAAAGCCACACGGCAGGTTAGACACTCCCAGTCCGTCTACAGAGTTTAATTGAATCATTAAAAGATTGATATGAAATCATCATTTGGATGTTTTTCAGGGGAGTGTTGAAATGGCCTGATGGAGAATATACACAGGGTCCTTTAAGAACGGATTAGAGGATGGGTGAGTCCTTCAAGGGGCCATGACTCCATATTCAGAGTGCATAAGTCTGAAATTGTTGTCTTATTTCTTCATTTGCCTCATGCATTTTTATGATTTTGCAGCTTTGGTGAATTTGTGGCTCCTAATAAGACGATCAACAAGAACGATCACTACCAAGGTCACTGGAAAGACGGGAAGATGCATGGTCTGGGAACATACAGGTGAGAGCGAGTTCAAATAGTCAGCCAGGAGCTTTTCATTGTTTTATAGATATAAAAAGAAATGGATGAAGGTTTTTTTTTATTCTGAGAAAAAGTTTGCATGAAAGAAAGATAAGTATATTTTATGGGGACAGACTCGGGTGCATCAATCCAGAAAAGCTGCTGATTCTTCTTCCCTCCTCCGTCTGTCTGCAGATACGCGAGCGGGGAAGTTTACGACGGATCCTTCCAGGACAGCATGCGACACGGTCACGGCATGCTGCGCAGCGGGAAGCTAAACACCTCCTCCCCCAGCGTGTTCATCGGCCAGTGGCTGCAGGACAAGAAGACTGGCTACGGAGTCTTTGACGATATCACAAAGTATGCTCCTGTCAATTTAATTCTGGAATTTTACTGGCAGCTTTTCACGTCAGCTTCATGTTTTTCTGTCTTGTTTTAAATGCATCTACTTTGTTTAAACATTGTGTCAAATTACAAAAAAATATGTTTATGGAAGTGTGTGTTTTTCTGCTAAATCTTACTGCTGTATAGTTGCATCTGTAAGCCAGAGCTGATTGTCTGTTTTCCATCCAGAGGGGAGAAGTACATGGGAATGTGGCAGGAGCACCAGCGTCAGGGCACCGGGGTCGTGGTCACTCAGTTTGGCCTTTACTACGAAGGAGCCTTTAAGGATAACAAGATGATGGTGAGAAGATCAGTGTCGGATCTTAGTCACATTAGCACACATTTTTGTTACCAACGCTACACACCAAAGCTTGTAACCAAGAAAGTTGTAAAGAAGAAAACAGGTTCACCAGAAATCAAAACTGAGAACGCAGAATATTATCTTATCAAGGTTACAGTGCCTGTAGGATTAAAAAAAAAAAAAAAATACTTCAACAATCCTGAGAGAAAAGCAGGGATTTACTGGATATGTTATCTCTCTCTTTCTTTAGGGCACCGGGGTCCTCTTGTCCGAGGACGACACCACATACGAGGGGGAATTCTCTGACGACTGGACTCTAAATGGAAAGGTGACAGACACAAACTTAATTAATGGTCCATCACATGAATACTTAAGATCATATCTAGATAATTCTAAAACCTCTCCTGGAAATATTATTATTCAATAATAGAAAGATCTCTAGTGGGTGTCTCATTGTTGTATTTACTCTTTTTGTCCCATAAACGTCACTGTTTACTTTTGCATTCTTCTCAGTCAGTCTATTTTTGTGAATGAAAATGCACTCACGTGCAATGTTGAAAGTTGTCTGTTGTTTATTCCTTCAGGGTGTGCTAACAATGCCAAATGGAGACTACCTGGAGGGCTCCTTTAACGGTGAATGGGGCTCTGGACTCAAAGTGTCGGGGTCCTACTTTAAACCACAATTGTTCGACACAGACAAGGACAAGAGCCGGGTCGTGTAAGCTCCCAATCAAATATACATAGCAGACACGTAGGGCAGACTTTTTACAACACTACGTTTAATACTTTGTTATATTTTTGAACTTTGTGTTTCACAGGAAGCTGGGTCGCCTGTGTGTGTGTGCGGAGGATAAGTGGCAGGCCGTGTTCCAGGAGTGTTGGAGCCAGCTAGGCTGCGAGTCGCCGGGACAAGGAGTGACCTCTAAGGCTTGGGAGAACATCGCCGTGGCCCTCACCACCAGCAGACTTCACATCCAAGACAGGTACAGCTCTCCTGTCAGCAAGTAAAAGTAGCCTCATTCAATCAGCAACATGCAGTTACCGTTACAGTCTTTCTTTTTGTGTTTTCAAGTCCGGAGATTCTATCTAGAAGTCACAGCAGAACTCTGGAGAGTCTGGAGTTTATCCCTCAGCATGAAGGACCAATCAACATGGAGCGATATCACACCATCCGCCTCTACCTCATCAAGGTGAAAGCCGTCCTCACTTTCAATCAAAGCATCCTCCCAGTAATATCTGGATTGTGAACTCTGTTTCTAACAAATAAAAATACTTTATATGTGAAGTCATGCAATGTTTTCTTTATGGATTGTGATGTCTCCTGTCTTATGTTGAACAATTGCAACTACGCATGTGTTATTTTGGAAATTCTTTCTCGAATTAAAAACAATTCATATATATATCCTTTTTTAATTTCTTAATTAGTGAGTGACTGATATAAAAGAGAGAATGCGCAGGCGGAAGAAAATGAAATGGCTTTGAAAAAAGAGAATTCCTCCGATATTTATTCTCTTCTTCGTCCAGGCTTGTGACACACCCCTCCACCCGCTCGGCCGTCTGGTGGAGACCCTGGTGGCGGTCTACAGGATGACCTACGTGGGCGTTGGAGCGAATCGTCGACTGCTGCCTCAGGCTGTCAACGAGATCAAGTCTTATCTTAACCGCATCTACCAGATCGTCAGGCATGTTATAGACTGCTTCATTACAACTTCACACAATCAATATGGAATTTCTTATGTTTAGTATTGCTTTTTTGTTTTTAGGTTTCTTTTCCCTGACCTGCCAGAAGAGGGCGGCCTAATTCCAGAGCCGACCACCAACCTCCAGGAGAAGAAGGAGCCCGGCTCGACTGATGCCCAGCCAGAGTCACCAAAACCTGGGTAAAGACTGAGCAGTGTCCCCTTAAGCTGTCAGTGCTCCTCTGGGGTCTCACATTAACCCGCCCTGTGTGTTTTCTCAGCCGCGTGGTGAGCAGCTGCGCTCTGCTGCTCCCCGTCCTGCTGCCTCGCCTCTACCCGCCGCTCTTCACCCTCTACGCTCTGGACAAGGAGAGAGAGGACGACGTCTACTGGGAGTGCGTCCTCCGTCTCAACAAGCAGCCCGACCTCGCCCTGCTCGCCTTCCTGGGAGTCCAGCAGTAAGTCACACACTGCAAAAGAAAACCTGCTTTATTGTATGTTTTTTTCCATGCTAAGCAATTTAAACTTTCACATTATGTTTGTGTTTACCTCCGTAGAAAGTTCTGGCCTGTTTCTTTTTCTGTCGCCTTGTCTGTACTTGGGGAGAAGCAGCAGGTACGTTTATGATGACTTATGACAGTTTGTCCATCCTTACAGTAGGAAGATAAAAAAAGGTGTGATTGTTCTAACCTGTGTGTTTTCTTCAGGTCCTTTCCAGCACAAAAGACGCCTGTTTCGCCTCTGCAGTGGAAACATTACAACAGATCAGGTACAGCTCATTCAACGTCTTTTGAATTAGTCAAAAACATTTAAATTAAGGTTTTGTATTAAGAGCTGTCATCCTTCAACAAAGTGGAGTGAAATCCTCATGTAGCTCTTTCCACACATACTTATTATAAGATAAGAACATAACTGATGATCAAAGTAACACATGGTAATCTGAGATCGAGTGTCTTTGTTTTGCAGCACCACCTTCACGCCGTCAGACAAGCTGCAGGTGATCCAGCTCACCTTCGAGGAGATCACTCGCGAGGTTCAGTCGCTGCTCAAACAGGACTTTTTGTGGTCCATGGACGAGCTCTTCCCCGTCTTCCTCTACGTGGTGCTGCGTGCACGGTCAGCCCCAAAACATACACACACACACAGTCACACACTCTGACAAACATCTGCACACACAAATGTCACTCAAAGTCAGGAGAGATGCATTGATTATCTCGCCAAACAGAAAATAACTAAAACAAAGAAGGCTTAAATCTTTGTTACTAGATCATATTACAAAAAAAAACACAAGATGCAAGATCTCCTAATTAGTGCAAAACCTGTCAGACTCAAAGCTGGTTTTCGTTTGATCTCAGAATCAGGAACTTGGGGTCTGAAGTGAGCTTGATTGAAGATCTGATGGATCCCTGCGTTCAGCACGGAGAGCACGGCATCATGTTCACAACGCTGAAGGTAACGCACTAAAACACTGCTGTACTTTAATTGACATTCCTCACTATTTCCTGTAACTTCAAAACAAACTGATTTGGATTAGGAAGTAACTGTGGGTGAAAAAGACAAAAATAAGTTTGTCACTTATTTGTTTATCTTTTTAAAGACAAACATTTTCAAGAATTAAAAATAGAAATGTATAAAATCATTCTCTTTTCCAGGCCTGTTACTACCAGATCCAGCATGAGAAGGTCACATAACTCCAGCAGTGTGACTCTACTCCCTCTGTGCATCTGCAAGCCCCGCCTCCAACCACAGCCAATCGCAGGGCTGGGAAGAAGCGCGAGGCTTTGGAGTGATGGACGTGTGCAGTAGCCAATAGGCAGCAGAGGATCATACAAGCAGGTTGCTGACAGCTCCATCTGCTGCTGTTATGGAGACGGGACCACCTCCCCCTCACACACACACACACACACACACACACACAAACACACACACTGTTTTGCCCTTTAGTGACCTCTGCTGGTCGCTTATCCACGAATCATTAATGTCCAAATGTGAATAATTGTCTGTGTTATACGGGCAGTCATGAGCCACTTCAAACCGTCCGGAGAAATCTGACTGACACGACATTACGCAGGAAAATCTTGACTTTGGGGATGTTGTTACCTGGGAAGAACTCAAGCGTTATAGTTTTTTTTTTTTCCCGATGGGAGCAGTTTTTGTTCTCTGGATCCCGGACCTCATTTTAAACACAATTTCCAGTATGAAACTCAAATATTATGCGGACTGAACTAAGCCATTTCTCTAAAAAACAACACTTTTTTTAGCTTTCAGTGTTCAAATCCTTGTTATTTATGACATCCACTTGAAGAAACAGACTGTATGAGGAATTACCTTCTACCCTTTAAAAGCATCTCACTCTATGATACTGACAGACTTTTCATGTATCGACTTCATAAACTGACAGAGCACTTTGTTTACCGCCACGCTAAGCTGACAGTTATTGGGATTTCAAACCGTGTTTTCCCAGATTTACAAAGAAGAAGGCTTCAAAGATGAAGTCCAGCTCGCCCTCTTGTAGCTCATAAACATTTGGTGAACTTCCCCACGTCTGATTAAGAGCTTTTCTACAGCTCATTTAGAGCTGGGGTTGATACTGTGTTGTGTTAATGCAGAGCATGTACGGCATGCTTTAGGTTAATGTAAAGTGAATTAGCTGAAACTCTAAATGATGCTGATGTTTTCCTCTTAAACCATCTTGAACACAAAAATCTGATTAGCTGAATTAGCTTAAAGTAAACACAAACAACGTCCCTGCCAGTTTTCTCTGACACTGGTCATCAACACAGCTTGTTTGTGATGGCTGTAAAGTGTTTCTTAGTTTCAGCTGGATCGCCGACTTGAAGGCACATGTGTTTTTCTGAGTCAAACACTTTGACTGTTAACACTTTGTTTTACAGATTTAGCAGAAATGAAGAAAAGATAGATCATAGCACTCTACTGCAAAACCAGGATGGAAAAATATTCCATTATTTAAAGTATTTGCAAGCAAAAGCCCTGAGCCATCGAGAAATAGTTTTACAAACTGTCTGTTTAGAAAACGTAAAAGGTTTGCAAATTCAGATGAAGGATGGGGTTAAAATGTATGACTTGAAATGACAAATATCTAAACAATGGTATTGTTTTCAGTGTTATAGTCATCGTTAATGTCCGCTAAAAAAATGTGCATCTCCAATCTTTATCATCCTGAAAACATCACAGATAAATTTGTCTGACTACCAAAAAAAAAATGAATCAAGTAGAAGCTGAAAAAGATCTTGAATTCATTGGAGATGCATATTTTATAGGACATCTTCTTTTCTTTTCTTTCAATGTTGTCGTGATTATACTGCTGCAAGTATTCTGCAAAACAATCATCGGTAAATATCCAGAGGGGAAAAAGGAAGAGTTTGAAGGTCTTCAGTTCTGTAAATTGTTGAATATAAAAGGTAAAAATGTTTCTGTTGCAGCTGCAGGTGGAGCTCCAGCAGAGACCCAGGCGCTCGGATTAATGCAAACACTGTTTTACAGACGTCTGTGATGTTTCAAAGCTGATTCTCTGCGCAATCTGTTAATACTAACTGTTCTTTTTTTAAACCATTCACTGCCCCGACCGTCACACATTGTTGCTTATTTGAGATTTGCGTCACACATGGCGGTTGATAAAAGGGCTTAGAGGGGATTCAGAGGATGACCATGACCTTTTTTTTTTTTTTTTTCTTTTCTTTTTTTTTCTTTTTTTTAATGTTATCGCTTTTGTTTGCTCCGACGGTTTAACAACAGTGAAGCCGGTGGATCAGAAGCCTTTTTTTTTTTGAAGGAGCCAAATTTAGGTGAAGCTGCTCGATTCTGAAAATCAATCCGGAGAATATCGCTGTTCACACGTACAGAGTTCAGATCTGACATTAAAAGCTACAGCTCTTCTCTTTGGGTGACAGATTCTTTACGATCAGGGTTTGCTCTGCGAAGTTTGGAAAAGATCACCTGCTGTAATTAATGAAATTAGTGAGGAAACAAAGCACGGTCTAGTAAAACAACAACACAAAGATCCATTCATGTCCTGAATTTTGCAGAATGCAGAACTTGATGTTTTTTTTGATTTTGCATTACTGCCTGGTCAGGATTCAGTCTTGGGATTCAGGACTTTACACTTTTACACTTTATTTTTCCCTTCATAGCTTCCCCTTTAAAAAAACAAAAAAACGAGTTCATACATTGTCCACCCCAACCTTTGTTTTGAATTCAAGGAGTTATGTTCATGCAGCAGGTTAGGCCTTAAAGAGCCTCTAATTCTCCCTGTAAGACGTCTGTGCACCTTAAAAGTATTTGTTTATAAGTAAAATGTTGCATTATGTTGTTAAAAAAAGGATCATGAAACCTGTACACATCTGTGCCTGACACTTAGAGAAGTGAAGCAATATTGTCTTCATGAAACGCTGTGAAAACATTCCCTGGCTCTTTGAAGGAGGTGTTATTTGACTGACAGTTTTAAGCCTCTTATCCTCCTCCTAACAAAACATGAAGGCTGATATTTTGACTTCTGCACCTTTCGAGAGAAGAAAATATCAGTAGACAACAGAACTGATTTACAAACCAAACTACATAGGCAGAATGAGACGTTTACTGTAATGGTTGTACATGAAGTTCTGTTTTAAACCCAAACTGAAGACTGGTATGTAAAGTGACGGTAACGCTCATAAGCTCATGTTCGGTTCATGATTTAACCTGTTGACACCTGTTTGATTGACTTACTGCACCTCAACACCTGTTCATCATGAAAACGACCCTCACAGGTCAGACTGTTGCGTCGTGTGTAAAATGACCTGTTTTGTCGATGGACTTTGGTGGTGACTAGTTGACATGTTTTGTGTTTCAGCTGGCTGACATGACGCCCTCCTGTGTGTCTTTTACATGATGTCAAATGTATTGTACCTTTAAAAAAAATAAATAACAGAGGGCAATAAATGCATTTGATAGACGTTGCTAACAGACTTGCTTCAACAGATTTGTGTGGTTGAAAAACTTTATGGATGAATGATCTTGGTCGATCTTGGTAAATGTGAGTTTTACTTTTCTTAGCTTTAATGATTGTTGTCTAAATATTTTTACATTACTGGTCGAGTGAAAGGATGTACCACTAAAAACTTTAGCGTAAAACAACACACAGCGTTAACTAACGTTCATTAAAAAAAACGATCTGTTAAAGTGAGAAATCTTAAACTAAACTTAACTGATTTTACGAACTTCACAACAACAAAAGCTGAAAACCCATCAGGAAATCTGGGCTACGGTGAAAATGAAACGGATGTAAAAGAGAGAACAAAGATTGTACTTTGAGAGTAAATACAAAACTTTAGTGTGCAGAATAAGAAAAATAATTTTTCATTACAAAAAAAATATTAAAGAATTGTTGATAAGGCGCTGATGCGGGTACTTTCTCTGCATTACTTCTGTTTTTAAGGGGGAGTTTTGATGGAGTTAGGGACTAACTTTAAGATATTATGAGACGTTTATGGCATATAATATGGCTTAACATCAATGTTGTAACTTTAAGGTTCAGGTTACTTTATTTATACCTGCAGGTTCAGTTTTGCTGCAGGGAGAGTCACATATTTAGAAAAGCACAGAAATTACATAACACATACAAAGTGCAAACACATGGTACATGGGTAAAAGTGCAGAAGTGCCTAAAGTGTGCAGATTCCAATCGTACCATTTTACAGGCATTTAAAGACAATGTCTGAAATAACTGAAATGCACTGTTTGCTGCAGAACAGCGTGTCTTTCATCAGGTCACAAGAGGATCAGCAAATCCTCTCAGAGTTGCCCTTTTTTTATTAAAGCCAACCAACATCAAACATGTTCTTCATGAATCGCAGAGATAATCTCAGTGTTTTGGGGACAATAAGATCGTGTTTTCAGAAGGAGGGAGGGGGAATTAGATTACTGCTCAAGAGATTATTTCCTTTCCTGACATATATTTTTGGGTTTGAACGAGGAGACTGAGCACTATTTTCACTTTCTATTAACTCCAGCTGTTGAGGAGGATGAGCAGCAATTTTAATTACAACTCCTACAAATTCCGTTATTCTTCTCCTGTCAATTGAACTTCACATCCTCCCTTTACGAGAACTGCATTTCCCTAAACTGCGAGAACAAAATGCACGAGAGTGTGATGTTGAAAATGTCACATTTATTCTCTCCTCCTTCCGCAGGTCGCAGAGTTTCTTCCTCCTCCTGCGTGCTGCTGAAAGCTGAAAGAGTTAAGAAGATTTGCCAGCTACCGCGGCAAAACCAGCCAGCCGGTGAGGGAGGAACCGGCTTCCGGTGGCCAGAGGCAGGCGGCTCACTCGCCCTGGGATTAAGTGGGATCGGGAGAGATTACAGCCCTCTCTCTCTCTCTCTTCTCTTTCATGTTTCCTGCAGCTCAATGAGTCCTGCGTCCAGTCTCCGGGGAATCATTTCACATCACATATACATTTTCCTGCGCCTTTTCTGGTGCTGAAACCTGCAGGAGGTGGAGGATAAAGCTTTATGCATCCCTGAGGAGCTGGATAAAAGGTAAGAATTACTTATTTAACAAAAAGGAAGCCTCTTTTTCCTCTTCTTAAACTCCAGAGGAGCTTGAACTACTTTCTTCAAATGACTTGGATGCATAAACTATGTCATCTTGCACAGATTGCATCTGTCAACTATGCGGGTCATGATGTCCTTTCTTCTTAAAGCTGTGAATCTTATTTAATTCACCTGTTTATCCTTCAAAGTCACAAAATAGACCAAATGTGGGAAAAAATTCTGAATCATGTCTAAAAAAAAAAACACAGATTTGTGTTGCTACAGGAGTCCGGGTCAGTAGAGCAGCGATTACGCTCTTTACATCTCAGCATTTACATCACTGTCACTCTTACGAGATCTCTTCAAGTGTGCCATTAACCCCTGACCCGCTTTCACACTAAACACTGATGGAGTATTCCCACCTGATCCCAGGTCACGCTCACGTCTGGATTACTGATGAGGCAACCCGCATCTTGTTGCACGTCAGTCCGTTAGCTGGTTTGTAAAACAAGTGATTGAGGATCATTTTGAACTTGTTTCAGGAGTTTTATAATTCTCAAATTTCACACATGCATTGCAATATTCCTGCGGTTAGATTTTAAAATAACCATAAAACATCAGCGTGTTTGCAGAATGGCAGTATGCTGCGATATATTCAATCGTTTGTGTATTGTCAGATTCAGGCCAGTTAAGCCGTGATAACATTGAACTTAGAGTTGGATTTTTGAATGTATAATACAGTATGTCACTAGATCCAGGCTCTTAAGTACTACTACACATTATATAACAAATATTGCATTGTCTGTGTAGCGTCCAAACCAGTTTTATTTTGTCCCTCAGCGCCAGAAATAGTTTGGCTTGGACGGTTCACAGGTCATGTGTCTCGGTGTCCTGCTGTTCCTGGAAGAGAAATTCAAAAACACATAATTCTCCAATATCCATGTTGTGAGTTCAATGATCATATCTGTGCGTGGAAATGGCTTATCCTGCATTTTCTGGTTACTATTCTTTTTTGGGTATTATGTCCAGATGTGGAAGTCTCTTGTGCATGGACTGCTTTTTCATTTAAATCCCTCCTGGGCTTCTTCCTCCCCATCAAGACACAAATCATCAAGGTCTTCATCCAATCAGAATCAGAATACTTTATTTCCATTAAATGACCTACAACCAAATGTGCTCTGCTCCTCTCGGTTCTAAAGAATGTCATTCATAATATGCGTTCATCTAAACAAACATGACAAATAAATAATAACTATAAAAGTGGTAGATAAAAGTTACATCAAGAAGTTGATATAAAAAGAATTATTCAGGAAAAGTGAGTCCATTCAGTGCAGTCTGAAGGCTTGTAGGAACTTTTTTATATAATTACAACTAACAAGGATCCAACCCTAATAAACTAAACAGTTGGGACATGTTTGATTTCTTAAGTGACTTTAACGAGAACTTCTGGCAGGATTTTTTTCAGCTCATTTGTGAACAGCTGAGCACCTGTTCCATCCAAAACATGCAAAGAATAAGAGTTTGTTTTGTTTCCTTTACTTTTCCAGGTTTTCTGTCCCTGTAAGCAGTCAGCTGTCTGTGGTTGGAGCCAAAGCTTGGGGGTCCAGCGACCATGAGGCAGGCGGTGGAGGCTCAGGTGTTGAACCCCCACTGTGAGCTCGGAGAACACGGTCAGTGAGAAATAAATCACATTCATAAGTACACGCACTGCTGTGCTTATGTGTGTATTATCATGCCTGTGTTTGTGTGTGTGTCAAAGGCCTGCGTCAGATCCTCACAGATGTGATCGAGGAGGTGAAGAAGTCGGTAAATCCAGACATCGACGGAGCGGAGATCCTGCACAGTCTGCTGAACGCCTCCTGGCTGCAGTCGCTGCTCAAGGTCTAAAAAAAATGACTTTAATCCTAAAAATGCTAAATAAAAACATCCATAATCACCTTCACAATCATCCACCCCTAAAATAGTTCTACTTCTGCTTTGTTTTTGTGTGTCAATATGTGTTTTTGCAGTTTTAACTAGAATCCATGTGAAGATGAATTCCTTAAAAGGAAAATAAAGATGTTTTTTCAGCACAGCTGAAGTGATATTTGGCAGCTGGAGGCTCTGAGACATGTGAAGTCTTTCTCCTAAATCGTTTCTTTAACTGTAAAAGGGGTACATTTTTTAACTCTTCTGGAGAACAGCTTTGACTTTTTGGGTCAATTAGAGTTGTTTTTGTGGTTACATGTAGTGTGCAGATTGTTCATTTAGTTGATCTGCATCTGGCCTGAATCTATGCTGGGATGTGCTCACGACTGTCTCTCTAAATGTAGAAAATCAGTCGACAAAAGACTTGTGAAGTGTCCGAACTCCTCTGTTCGTCTTAAGTTTTAACCATTTGAAATGATTGTTTAAAGGTGTACGAGTGTCTTCAGAGGTACCTGAGAAACTCCCCAGCCCCCGCTCTGGACTACGCTTCAGGACTCTCACTCCAGGTTCACCTTCAGATTGAGTGTTTGTTCATAATTTGTTGCTTAGAATCATTTTGTGGAAGATTTTGTTAATCGTGTTTTTTTTTTTTTTGTTTCTTCGCTGTAGTTGCTGATCGACATCCGATCGTTGCCAGGCTGCTCTGAAGACGCAAAAGAGCTCTACCGCCTCCTGAGACAGCCACATCTGCAGGTCAGAATAAATCAAAGTCTCATCTTTACACTCTTTAAAATACCCTGCATTAGGTTACAGACGGATCAAACATGTTAAAAAACAACAAAAAGAATCCATGCAAGAGTAATCCTGAACTACTTTGTGATGTTGGACAGCATGGCAGCCGTTTTTTAATTAAAAAAAAAAACATTTTGATTTTCTTGTTTTAAAGGCTCTTCTCTCAGCTCATGATACGGTGGCCCAGAAGGACTATGAGCCAGTGCTGCCACCGATGCCTGATGACCTGCCTGACGACGAGGAGGCCACCAGGATCATCTGCCTGGTGAAGAACAAACAGCCTCTGGTGAGACACCTGGCTCAAGCCTCCTCATGACTTGTTAATATATGTTAAATATTATGATATTATATGTAAAAACTGCAGCTAAGGTTTGGTTTCGAGCTTGTTGCGGGCCTTTTCATCCTCAGTATCCAGGCTTAAGTTGAGGTCACATTTTGATGAGGTCACCTCTGTTTGTCATTTTTGAAAATATTTTTTTAATCTCTGTTTGTAAAAACAGATTTTCTGGGATCAGAGGGATCCATCAAATAAACTTTCCTGAGCTTAAACACAGAATTCAGATCAGGAAGTCATGCCACAAAGAGAGAAAATGTTTAAAAAAAATGATCTTTGAGGAAGTCACAGTCAGTCCTTTTCTTTTAAGGATATTTTCTTCAACTTTGGAAATATTTCTGGACAACAGACCAAACTCTGGATCTCATTTCTTCAAAACAACAGCTTGACAGCTTTTTTAAGATCCCTGTTTAAAGGCTTTTTGGAGGTTGTCAGTATGAAACAGCCTTCCTTTACAAAACAGCAACTTGCTCAAGCAGTTTTAACAAAAGCTGGATCGTATACGGGGGGAATCAGAAGTTACAGGTTGCAAAGATTGTGCACATTTATACCAAATGATCTCCATGACTTTATACCTATGGGGAAGAGCAGGAGGATATATTTTGTGATTTGGGTGAACTGACCTTTGAAGTTTCCCAAAATGTTTTGATGAAATTACCTTTTTTTATACAGAAGCCCTCAGTGGACAAGCAGCCATACATCGAGATGACGAGATCATTTACTTTTTTTTATTATCTCATGATGTCAATGCTTGTTTCCTTGTGATGACAGGATCACTTTCTGGTGATCTAGACAACAAATCAGTATTTTGGTCACTATGACATTTAATACTGCAGTTATCCACTAATGAGTTAAGGCGACTTCTGTGACTGTGAAGCTTTTACAGCTCTGGCGTTACGAGATGAAGACTGAAGAAATCTACAAGAAAACAACCAGAAATGATTTTCACAGTAAATCAAAAGTATGGATGCATTTCAGCTCAGGGTTCAAATTCCCAATAGGAAACGCTTGTGTGTCTGTCAGCTATGCTTTATTTCAGTAGATAAACTTTACCACAGCAGAAATGCTTTTCCAGATGCTCTCGGATATTTCGGTATGTCGGCTTTCCTTTGCCAAAAATGAATCAAACATCGGACTCTATCCCACAGAGAGCAGATGTTTGATTTTTATAATCTCTCATTTGACTAATTGTCTGTTAATGCTACAGGTCATTTCCTGGCCGCACAAAGCGATGAAAAAAAAGAAGGATTTTAGAAGACAAAAAGCGACTTTTGGGGATATTTATTATTATTATTAATCCCTGCAGGATACTTACCGGTACATTCAAGTTTACGTTTGTCTTTTGTTTTGATATGATTGAAGGAAAGATTAGAATTTTTTAATCAATGAAGCTTTAATCTCATTTTTTGTTACGTTCCGAGGGGATGAGGAAAGGGAGCAAATAATAAACCCAGGGGGAAACGAAGCAGGAACAAAGTAGAAGCAAAATAAAAAGAATTTGGCCAATTTGATGCAAAGGAGACAGAGATTGCGGCTTTCAGACGATGTGTTGATCATTTCCCTCTACCTTTGAGTGACTCTGTTGTCTCACAGCTCTGCAACCAACGGCGAGTCGGGCTGTCGCTCTCCTGTTCATCCTCCCCGTGCACAAAAAAGCGCTCCAGAAGCGCCGTCTGCAGCCACTGGGACACCTTGAAGCGTCTGACCCGGCAGACGCTTCACAGAGGTGGTGCCTTTGGAGTCCAGAGCCCTGCTGCTGCTGCTGCTGCTGCTGCTGGGAATATGGATGTCAACTGGTGTGACGTTCGAAGAGGAAGCTTCCCACAATCTGAAGCGCCGTGTCGGGCGGCATCAGGTCATCCGTACCCTCCTCCTCGTTTCAAACCAATGAGGAGCTGTCAGAGGTGCTGCAGCAGGCCTGTGAGCAAATGTCGAGTTTGTTACACCAATCTGCTTTGGGAGCAAAACCGTTCAGCGCCTTCCGTCTACAGCTCTGTCATGATCGGTAAATAAGATCCTCTTGCTTTTCCATCATCCGCTTCTGCCTTCATTTGGCCTCGCCTCATTCATCTTTGATTAATAAATTCTGTTTTTTCCATTTCAGACAACGTCATTGAAGAGCTAGACAGCGGAGACGACTCCAACGTTGTCCAATCCTCGCGGCGCACAGCTCAGCGTTGGACTGTCTCGCCCCCGTGTCTCACTGTCCCCTACTACTCAAACGTCGACGACTACCTCCCTCCAGGCCTTCCCCAAAGACTACGCAACCAAAGCCCCCGCGTCCGCACTGCTCCCCCGAGCCCCATGCGCCCTCGCCGCGGCCGTGTGGTCAACCTTCCACCCGCTCCCCCGGTCGAACTCGCCAAGCAGGAGAGTTTAGACGAGCTGAGGTCGACGGTTCAGCTCGCCGCAAGCTCCATGGAGACCAGCACCAAAGACATCAAGCTTCTCGGCGAAAAGATGGCCGCAGCGACAGAACGCATGTCCGAAACCGTGCAGGACAACTCTCAAGCTTTGGCGCTCCTCACGCAAGTCGTAGACCGCCTTCAGACGCTCCTCACCGCCAACAGTATCCCAAAAACTGCAGCCCCTGAACGAGACGATACCCCAAAGACAAACCAATCACCGCAGATCCAAAAGAAACGATCCTTGACGCACCAATCCAGATGTTCCCTCCCTTCGCCTCCTTCCTTCAGCTCGTCCTCCAGCTCCCTCAGCAGCTCTCTGGACGCCCCCTCCACCTCTCATGGCACCAGCTGCCTCTCCGTGTCCTGCCATGGGTCACCGCGAACCACCCTGAAATCCAAGAACGCCACTCTGCCGCAGAAGAAGCACCTTCACGCTGAGCTGAAAGAGGCAAAGCAGCCCCAGACTAACGGCCTCCTCGATGAGCCAAAGGAGATGCCCAACAGCGTGAAGGGACGTCGGTCACAGCGGAGGAAGAAGAAGAAGAAGAAAGCGACATGAGAGATGCAGAAAACGTATCAGAAGAAGTTCTCGGGTTCTTTCAAGCTGAATCTGCTTAGAGGCTTACCTGCAATCACAAACAGTGGTAGTTGAGATTTCTTTCTCTCCTTTTGTTGGATTTGTCATCGTGTTGGACCATTTCATCCTGTCAAATCTTCACGGCACATTTCAGGAACGTCATCAGTGTTCATTTGGGCTTCGCTTCATCTTGTTTGTCTCGTCCTTTTTCATCTTCAAGTGTCCCGCCCTCCCAAAGACTCCACCGCTTATCCTCATCTTCATTGGTGTAATCCAATTTTGACCTACACATGCCAACAGTTCATCTATTTTTCTGTTTTCTGTTTCAGGGAGCAACCATAAAAAGAAACGAGGTCTCCGGGGAGATCTTTATCGCTCGGGTGATTCATGGAGGGCTGGCAGATCGGAGTGGTGAGCCTTTTCTTTCAGCGATAATCTTGCTTTCTCTTGATTGACTTAACTTTCCAGCTGTGTAGCATCAATGAGAAGTAGAAATGATGCTATTTTGATCGTGAAAAGTAACAACTGAGAGAGAAACAGGCTTTCTCTGTTCTTTGAAAACCTGGACTTGGGCTGTTAGAAGGTACATCTCAGAGCTTTCGACCAAATCTCACAGTCTTAAATTTGGAAATAGGTTTTGCTCTTCATGGGACTGAAGGGCATTCAGAAACTGCCTTCAATAGTTTTTCTTAAATCAGTCTTCCAGAAGCTGAAAGGAACCCTTAAAAGATTAAAAATCAGTGTTAGAAGAAACATGTTGCCTGATGGTATCTATTTTAATCTGTTGTGTGTGTGTGTGTGTGTGTGTGTGTGTGTGTGTGTGTGTGTGTGTGTGTGTGTAGGTCTACTGCATGCAGGGGACAGGATCATAGAGGTGAATGGTTTTCCTGTAGATGGGATGGAGCCGGAACAAGTGATCCAAGTAGTGGTAAGTCAGTCACGTTTGAGTGTTCTTGTTTTGTATTTGGGCTTTGTGATGAGTGAGGAAGCCATTCATTTCTGCCATGTAATCAATTTGTTTTTCCTTTTTTTTTTTTTTTTTTTACAACCAATTAGCAAGCGAGGTCACAAGGCACTATCATGTTCAAGGTCATCCCCATCACAGAAAGGCCGGTCCACAACCAGACGATGGTAAACACACCTCTCTCGAGACTTTTTTCAAATCATAGAAACACATGGACTTCATCATGACAAACTTTATGTCTGCTTTTAGCTGTACGTGAGGGCCATGGTCGACTACAGCCCGCAGCAGGACCCGGCCATCCCCTGTGCCGACGCAGGTATGAGCTTCAGAAAAGGTGACGTCCTGGAGATCGTGGACCAGACAGACGCCCTCTGGTGGCAGGCCAAGAAACTGCCCAGCAACACAGCCTGCGCCGGCCTCATCCCTCCACCAACCTGCTCAAACGGTCAGGATTTTAAGAGTTTCTCTCTGAGAACTGAGCTCTTTAACGATCAGTTATGTGTGTTTTTAAATTGTAACTTATAACCAGAAACCAGAACATTTCCATCCAACAGTTGAAAGTTTGTTTTTTTCATTTAGTCGCCCCTATCGTAACGTCTAGCGAATACATGAAGCGAAACAAAGCTACAGAAACAAGTTCCCCTTCCATAACCGGAGGAATGTTATAACACTTAACCAATATGTCGAGATATTTTTGGTGTCAGAAACATTTTCTTCCTCAACGTTGTTTCTTTTAGTTAACCAAAACTTCATCAATGTTGAATTATTGTCCAACATAAGCAGCTGTACAGTAACTACTATAAGGATATTGATTGAAAAAAGGTGCCACAGTATCTGATTGACTCTTGAGTTTCAATATTCAGCCCCAGGAACAACATAAAAGTGCGTTTAGCCTTTTCTGCCTGGCTGAAGGTCTGGATCAGAATCGTGTTCGTGTTAATGTAGTGAGTTAGTAGAAGCTGTAGTACATGTCTATTTAAATCTGCATGTTTTTACAGGAAGCAGAGGGAGTTCTGGTGGTCTCAGCCTTATCAGCCACATGCCTGCATACAGACCTGTAAGTTTAAACACATTTTCTTTGATCATAGCAGTTTCACCTCGACAGTCACTGCAAATCTTGGTGTACAATGTGATTTTTTTTTTTTTTTTACGTTCCACTCTATGCTCCCTGAAGTGAGCACTGTGGAGGAAGGTAAGGAGAGAAATAAAACACTGCTGTAGTTTAAAGAGCTGTAGCAACAGAGTTAGAGGATTTTTATGTTGAATCGGAGATGTAACTTTTGATTTCTGTTTGTCCCCGACAGAGGAAGACCTGATAGCCATCGATGAGAAATGTGTGGAAGCAGGTAAAGGTCCATCTGTCATTCATTGCTTTATTAATCTTTCCTACACAAACTCCTGCTTGGCTGCTTATGATTCATGTTTCCTTTTTTTTTGTGTGTTTTTCTCCTTGTCAGACGAGGAGGCTTTTGAATCTGGTAGGTAAGTCTTTGTTGATTGAATCTGTTCCGACTCTGAACGTGGAGTTACTCCTGCAGGGCTTTGTCTAATCTTTATGTGAAACGTTTCTTCCTCTGTTTCTTTTCTGATCGGGAAATGTCAGAGGAGCTCCGAGAAGGTGAGTCAAACTCAGGTTGTTTGTCTTTGTGCCTGTCAAAGGAGGGGAAAGTCGCAGGATAGTAAATGAGCAGAGGACAAAACGTAAGCGTTTAAAGGTGGGGGGAGGATGCACAGAGAAAATCGTGTAGTTGTCTCTGTGGAACTGTTTTGCCACACCAACACAATTTTCATCATTTGTTTGTGTATGTGCAAATACATTTTTGACACTCACTTTTTTTTAGCATGTTAGGCCCTCAAGACTTAAATTTATGTGCAAAGTTTTGTGACCTTTAGCTCTTCAAGACCCAATTCTTCCCTTACACCCCCTCACACAGAGGGAACCCCAACATCTAAATAAAAAAATGTGGCTAATAAAAGTAGTGCCCAATTAAAACATCAGCTCCTTTATTTAGATTCTGTAAGCCTTACTCAGAGTGAGCGCTTTACACAGCTGAGACCTGATGGCACACCATGACCCTGCTCACTATCTTGATCTCGCCCTGCCACCTCTCCTGGCCTGGGTTACTAAACACGCAAATGAGGCCGAAGGAGAGAAGGGGGTCTGTGAAATTGAACACTGACTGAACAGTGGAGTGGAGCTGAAACAATAGCATTAAATGACTCACAGCTTGAGTGTCTTTGACTGCAAAAAGAATCATCTGCATGTCTTTTTGTCTCACAGAGGAGGATGACTTCAGCAGCAACATTGAAAGCATCTATTTAGGTAAAAGCAGCATCAATCCTCCTGAACTTATCTGCACATAAACAGTCACATCTTGTCTTTTATTTTGTTAAATCACAATACATCCATTGATTCATTTTCTTTTTCCAGCGGGCTTCAGGCGCAGTATGCGTCTGTGCCGGCGGCGCTCTCACAGCACCACCCAGCCGTCCTGTCACACCCGCTGCCCCAGCAGCTGCTATAGCGCCCTGAACTGCCCCTACGAGGAGGTGGTGCGATACCAGCGCCACCCGCAGGACAAACACCGCCTCATCGCCCTCATAGGTACAGTAAAGCTCAAACTAGGATAAATGCGTTACTAGGATAAAGAGTCTTATGATGGAGAAAACAATATGATAAGGATGATTATGCAGAAAATAAAATAAATTTTTTAGTTTAACTCGTGAAAAAGGAAAGAAGCTTAATAAAATAACTTTGATTATTTATTTGTTTATTCTCAGGTGCATCAGGTGTTGGTGTGAATGAACTAAGAAGGCGTCTGATTGAATTGAACCCCAACGTCTTCCAGGGAGCCGTAGCTCGTAAGTTCAGATCTCAGCCATGCACTGAATTTTAAACAAATAAAATGTCTCTTCCTGCAGATAAAAACAAGAAACAGTATTTTCAATATTTTATAACATTTATTTTCTCTTTGTCCAGACACCACGAGAGCACCCAAAGGATACGAGGAGTCTGGCAGAGAATATCACTTCACAAGCCGAGAAATCTTCGACAACATGGTTTACAACAACAGGTACAAAAGTCTACAACACATTCGGCCTTTTACACTCACTGGAATTATACAAATCTCTGGTTTCTGAGGGGATTCACACATAAATGTTAAATTATTAAGTTCTAGTAATCCTTGTGTTGTGTCTCTCAGGTTTCTGGAGTACGGTGAGTACAAGGGGAATCTTTATGGCACCAGCATCGAGTCTGCCAGGGAGGTTTTAAACAGTGGAAAGATCTGCTTTGTCGACATCGAGCCGAACGTGAGGACAATATATTGATGTTCAACATTCAGTTTACTGTCACTTATACTTTCAGCATTCATGAGAGAGAAACGCCCTTCTTCTCAAATCAGAAACACTTAAAATACAGAGAAGCAAACATAAACTGAAGAACAAGATGCATGATAGACACAGGACGGATGACGGTTAACAACAGGACGCATGACAGTAAAGAACAAACCTGCTAGAACCAAAAAAGAAAGTGCAGATGCTTTAATTGTAGCAGGGCAGTTTGTGCTGTTAATGACGGGTGTATGGAATGAAATATCTCCAATGGAAGCAGGATGCAAACAACAGGTTTAGTTTGATTATTTCTCTGTTTATTTTTGTTGTATTTCTGCATCCAGGCCATTCAGGCAGTGAGGACCCATGAACTGAGGGCGTACGTCATCTATGTGAAGCCTCCGCCTTTGGAGCGACTGAGGGAGACCTGTTAATGACGGGTGTATGGAATGAAATATCTCCAATGGAAGCAGGATGCAAACAACAGGTTTAGTTTGATTATTTCTCTGTTTATTTTTGTTGTATTTCTGCATCCAGGCCATTCAGGCAGTGAGGACCCATGAACTGAGGGCGTACGTCATCTATGTGAAGCCTCCGCCTTTGGAGCGACTGAGGGAGACCAGACGGGAGGCATTCATCACCACCAACTACTACGTCAACCGCCCCTTTAAAGTAACCCCACTATGGAGCCAGATACCCTAAGTCTGATTTGTCTTAACTCGATTTTTTTGACACATTTTAACAAAATTTCTGTTGCATGCGGTTTCCTCCAACAGGATGAAGATTTTCAGGAGATCGAGGAATCCGCTCGAAAGATGGAGTCCCAGTACGGGCAGTTTTTTGACCACATAATCATCAACGAGGAACTACAGGACGCCTGCGTGGAGCTGCTGGCGGCGTTGAGAAGGCGCAGGACGAGCCACAGTGGGTCCCCGCCAGCTGGATACGACCCACCTCCGAGTCATAAGGAGACGAGGGAGATGGAAGGGATGTCTGAACCACTGTGTTAGAGTTTCAAGTCAAAAGTTCAAATTTAGAGCCATCTTAAGTGTGCTACTATATACAAAGTGTGTTTTTATTCATTGCAAGGATTTAACTTTAAAACAATGCAACAGCAGATTTTTCTATGGTTTATTAGGCTTACAAATAGTGTTAGAAAATTCACTAATACTTTGATATTAACTTTAATTTAGCAAATATTCACTGTGACCCTTGAAAAAAATACACAAGATTTAGCCGTGCTACCCAACCATGTTTTCTGTTTTTTTATTGAATTTTCTCCAAGTGATGTTTACAAATTTAAAATGTAGGTGGTTTCTTGTTTGACTTTAATATATATATCATTTTATTTTCCATTCAGAATTTCTGTCATTTTATTTGTGGTTGCTGTGTTGGTGTGTCATATGCGGAACAATTAATTAAGACGTATGAATACAAGCTATTCGGCACAAAAATGTACACTTTGTGTCCTCTTTTTTTAATAAAACAATGTTATAATAAAAAAAAAGTTCAAGCAAAGTAATGACAATTTAATATTTGTACATATTTGTGATGATAATAAATGAATTTTGAGTCATTTATTTTCAAAGTTTTTTATTTTTTACTGTTTTTATTTCCCCTTTTTTCTTGGTAGTATTCAAGAGGATGTAGTGTTGCTTTAAGTCCACTAGGGGCTCTAATGTGACACTTTCATAAACCAGAGAAGAAGAAGAAAAGTGTGTTGCTCGGAAATCCTTCCGGGTAGCGGTTTATTTCAGAGCGTAAATAAAGCAAGTAAGCGACAGTCAAAGCAGCTGTTTAATAGGATTTAGTAGATTAAATAAACTAACCAGCTAATTATGAGTTAACTAGGAGATTATTTTAAAAGGCAGAGTTAGAGGAGAAATTAATAATATGGCGACAGGAGGCTCAAAGGTAACTTTATTTATTTATTTATAAATAACTGCACAAACGTTTACATTTTCTAGCTGTGATTTATTTGTTTTTTTACCCAAAAATTGCGAAATTTTATTACTTAATTGTTCCTTTACTTTTTAAATTTCGTTAAAAAATGATAGCTAATTTAATAGTCCGTGACAACAGACAATAGCTTTGTGTTTTCTGTTATAATTGAGCTGGATAACTTCTGAATATTGCCAACAATCTTTGTTTTTGATAGAAAATGCGACCCAGGGAGCTCCCTCCTCTTCCACAGGTAAGTTATGATCTATCAGAGCCAGAGTTACAAAGTACTTCACAATAAATGTAAAACCCAACAAATTAAGATACAATCATATATAAATAGCACAAAAATACATAAAGAATATAATAGGAACACCTTATACAACAGTAGACAAAAATAATGGTTAAAATCTAAATCTAAAAAATGATATGTCTTGCTTACAAAATGCAAAGGAAAGGAGAATTAAATACCAGGAACATTAAAATGAAATGAAGTCAATCAAAATGGTTAAAAAGGTGACGCCTCTGTGATATCCAATTAAAGTCAGGACACACCTCATCAGGTGAAGTTTTGTTTGATTGATGCACGGACAATAAATGACAGCGTGCAGCCCTTGTGTTTATTCACATCAGAGTGATTCAACCAGTTCACACAGAAACACTTCCTGGTAGTACAAGAGTTGGAAAGGTTCGAGTCGTCTGACCTCTGCCCTGAGTAATCCTCACACAGATTTAGCCAAAGGGTTTATCCGTGTCAGTCAGGATGTTATTTGTAGCTTCACGTCTCCATTCTCTCTTGATTCTTTGGGTGGTGGGGGGATGTCCAGGAAGACCACGGTAAGAGTCTTTAATCATATCTGACTCTGCTTTTACAGGAACAAATCTGTGAATTACATGCAGTGTTTGTTGAAACACTTTCTTTGCATGTTTGGCTCACTGTGCCTCAGACAGGGTACTTTCTTAATGTGTTTACGCTGCCTTTAATGTGACCAAACACCTTCTCAGTCCAGCTCGACTTACTGCTTAGTGGCTTGTTCGTAGTTGTCGGTTTGAGGGGAACTATGGGTCACTTGTAATTTAGTTCCTGAAGGTTTTTTCCTTGAAAGTAATACAAGAGAACATCCTGACATCAACTTTTTTTTATCCAATCTTGCAAGTGTCAGGAGAGAAATAGAATCAAACAGGATATCTGCCGGTCTGTACAAAGTGATGTTTGTGTCTATTAGAAACTGAACCATCAAACACAAAAAAAAAATCAATCTGACCTTTTCTTTTTGTCTTCAGAGAAGCCAACGAGCACTACCCACAATGCCAAGGTAGGTGATTGTTACTATGATTTGACATAAACTTTATTAACTCTTTTTATACTGAAGAGGAAACTCAACTTTTCTTTTTTTTCTCTTTTTTTTTTTTGTGGAAACATGAAGTCAAGACGCAGCCGGTGAGTCAGAGTCGATAAGCACAAAGTGTGATGTTTAAGATATGTACGTCTTTATTTATATGAAAGCTGTCAGTTTAATTTCATCCTATTATTCTCTTTATTATAGGAGAAGTACCAGCTACAAAACACAAGAAGAGGAGGGCGAGGAAGGAGACGAATGGAGTGGATGATGTGGACGGTGCGTGAACTAAGCATTATGTTTACATTTCAGAGGTTTAAGGGTCCACCTCAACACAAGGTCTACTATAACAATCTGATAATCAAGTAAAGGTGCAAGCATGTTGAGCAGCAAAAAGGGGATCAGGCTAGTTTAAATATTCTACATGAACTGTCCTGTTGCTGCTTCTTTCAGTCTAGTAAAACTTAAGGATAACATTTAGTGCATTTAATAGTTCAAAGTGGTGACAACACAACAGAATTATGATTATCCCGTATGTGTGTTATTTCCACCAAGAAATCTTCAGTCTCCTTATTAATAAAAACGTCAAAAGAAAAATACAATGAGCTTCTGCTGTTTCCCTCATTAGATCAGGGGATCGAGATGGGAGGCGTGGGCAGCCGGAGGGAATCAGAGGTAGGAGAACAACTCACGCTTGAAGCCACGTCAGACGCGCCTCCACAGAGGAGGAAGAAGAAAAAGAAAACAGCCACCATAGTAAGTCTCCAGTTTTACTGCCAGTGTTGTAGTTCAGTCAGGATGAAGTAAGACAAAGTTAGAAGATTTAAAAGACGTGTCCGTGTGTGATGTCAGATCTGGATGATGACCAGGCAGACCTGGTGAATGGAGACACAGCAGATCAGCTGACTGATGGAGAAGAAGTGGTGAAAAAGACAAGAAAGAAGAAGTATGTCAAAGTATCTATCACTTTGTGTTTTTCTCATACTTAAACATTTGAAAAGGTTCCTAAAAGCTTAACTTTTTAAACACATAATAGCTCATTTGAGGAATTAAAGGTATATAGTATTTAGAGTTATTTTTTTCCTCTTTAAACTTTTTTTTTTTGTCATTTCAGGAGGTCAAAAGTTGTTGAGTCGCAGCTTCCGATGAGCTGGACGTAGCAGAGGATGATATTGTTACAGACACCCTCCTCCGATCCCCCAGCATTCCCTGTTCACGGCGCCGCAGGGTCAGAGCCAGCTGGTGGGGAAAGTCTTTGTGGAGCGGAACAGTAAGTGAACGAAGAAGAAGACATAATGGAATCTGTTCAAAAAGTGGTTCTTCTTATTTGATAGTGTGTGTGTTTTGCGTGCAGAGCGTTTCCAGCCTGCAGAGCGTTCGGACTGGAGGAAAACCAGCGTCCAGATGGACAACATGACAGACTTTCAGCACGTTCAGCCGCTCTGGACAACTAGAGACATTTCAATCAGAGTGCACGAAGGCTTCAGGTGGAGGAACAGTTTACGACAACAAAAAAAACTTCAAACAATGTCCCCTCCTCTTTAAATAACCCTCTCTTTGTCCTTTTTTGTTTGTTTTGTTCGCTGTGCAGGATGTTTGGTCTGTACTGTCACGGCTTCCTGGCGGGCTACGCCGTGTGGAACGTGGTGGTGATGTACATGTTAGCGGGGCAGCATCTCACCGCTCTGTCCAACCTCCTGGAGCAATACAACAGCCTGGCGTACCCCTCGCAGTCTCTGCTCTATATGCTGCTCGCCATCAGCACGGTGGCCGCCTTTGACAGGTAAAGCTAAAGAATTGTGGACGCTGATTGGCTGATCAAACTTCAGTCTAGAAACTGCTTTGAATTGTTGAAATAAATGTGGTGACCTTACACAAAAAGGTTTGGATAAAGGATAAGGTTGAGATAAATAGAAACTTGCATGTAAGACATAAGCATTTACGTGTGAAAAGTGAAGCCGAATGCAGCTCTTTAAGTTCAATATAAACTCCTGTGTTGTCAGAGTGAACCTGGCCAAAGGCTCCATGGCTCTGAGGGAGTTTATGACACTGGACCCGGTCGCTCTCGCCTCTTTCTGTGAGTCCACCATCTGTCAACACTGCTTCATTTCTGCCTTTCCTCTCAAACAGGTAGTATATGTTTGGTTTCGCGTCACTCTCTTCTGTTTCCATCCAGTGTATTTCTCCGCGCTGGTCCTCTCTTTGAGCCAGCAGATGACCAGCGACAGAATCAACCTGTACCCTGCCTTCAATGCGACACTATGGTTAGCTCGCTGGGATCAGTTATTTTTGAATACGTTTCCAGAGCCCAGATATGACAAATTAAGTTCATGTTTTTTTTCTCCTTTAGGCCACCGGGGTCGGAGCATCAGATTCTTCACCCGTGGGTGACAGTAAACCTGGTGGTGGCTCTTTTGGTGGGACTGGCCTGGATCTTCCTCGCTACACGACCGGAAAAAGATTATACTGAGAGTGAGAGAAAAACAATAATACTGCCTGAAACTCAACTGTCATTTTTAGGTGTTTGAAAAACAAGAGGAAATGGTTGATTTAAATATCTGCTTCTTCATCAGGTTACTTGATGGCCATGGAGATCGAACCTCCCAAACCAGAGGACAATTCAGAAATGACCGCCTGAGAAGAAAAAATCTGTATATTGACTTTTTTGGCATTTTGCACATTTTGTATGATGTATATTTTGTTCATGAACTCTCTAGATCAATTTTGTATTTTTGAAATGTGACTGTTTCTCTTTTTAAATACAGTTTTATCCAATTATGATTTATTTTTTAAAGAATAACATGCGTTTACATGAACCATGAGGGCTGGCTGTTAACTTGAAATACACGATATATATTTGTTTATGTTTCTGATGGTATAATAAGGTACTTCTCGAGGCTCCCATGACTATAAGCAAACCCAATAATTACAGGGCCAAAGGAGAAATAACTTATTGTGATGCTAAGAATACATTATTCTGTGCAGATTCAAATGATGAAAGGGAATTAAATATGAATTAAAGTGTCTCTGCAAACGATGAAAATAAGTTCAAGTGTCAGTGGATAGGTGATAAAAGTTTATTTACAGCACATTTCATATGACTGTGCTTCAAAACAGAAAAATAACAAGTTCAGAAGAGGATTAGTCCTCAAACAGTTTGATACTCAAATACATTTGTACATTTTTAAACCTTTTATAAAGTTATCTTTAACTAGCGAT